CCTCTTTCCTCTCACTGTGCACTGTGATAATCTGCGAAGGGCTGAAACGGTTGAACAAGAAATTTGAATAATTCTTCTCTAAAAAGCAGCAATGCTTAGTTTAATCCAGGGGGTTTTAAAGTCTGAGACTGCGGGCCCCCTCAGGCAAAGACTGGGAATCTGCGCCACCAAACTGCACAACGTACTCACGCTATGGACAAGAAGAAGACGGGATTTGATGGCGCAGATTGCAAAATGAAAGGAAAGAGAAAATAGCGAGGGAGGAAGAAGAGACAGGGAGAAAGACAGGAAGTGTCCAAAGTCTGGTATCGTCTGAAGCTAACAGGAAACAGAAGCTCTGTACAGCGAGTCTGCTGTAAAACAGAACCCGCCGACCACAACAGAACCACGGCGTCAGCATCTGAGCAGAAAGACCCGGTCTACGGACCCCAAACAAGGGAACGACATCCACCTGCCAGCTCCTCCTCACGCTGATGAACACTGATGATTCAAGATGATGTCTATGTGATGATGATGACGATGGTGTACGTCTGCCTCTCTAACATTTTTGATTTCTTCTTCTGTCTTGTTATTGTTGTTGTTGACGTTTCCCGTTTCTCTCAGTAACCACAGCAACGTTGTCTCTGACTGCTGCTTCACCAACAACGGGCACTTCCTGTGCACGGCATCATGGGATAAAAGTTTAAAGCTGTGGGACCTGCAGGCAGGAGGGTTTCGATCTCACGGCGGGACGTCGCTGCAGAGAGGCCACGAAGGCAGCGTGAGCTCCTGCAGCTTCTCGGCTGACGGTGAGCCCTCCGAGCAGCATCAGAGACGGGGTCGAGGTTCAGGTTCCTGTCCTCAGCTGACAGCTCAGACGCCCTCTGCGGCAGACGGCAGTCAGAGCTTTATATAGAGAAAGAAAACGGTAACGCTGTTTTACCGGCCCTGATACTTGGACGTGTCCTGGAAACGTGTAAATATCTCACTGTTGTTCAGTTAGTTGTCATTTTAAAGAGGTCTGCTCATTCATTCATCGACTCATAGTTTTATTGAGGCGTCGCACCAGAGCAGGTTTACATGGTTTCATTCTTACACTGCACATCGCCGCAGCTACTCTTTTCACCCTGTGTGTGCAACGCTCCGAGTGAAGCATCTCACTTCTATAAGATCTTTGTTGGGAGCTGCACATGTAATAAAACACTTCCTGTCATTTCACCGCAGCAAACCTGCTGGTGTCTGGCTCCTACGACAGGACTGTTGCACTCTGGGATATGTCCTCCCTCTGCCAGACTCTCATCCTGAAGGTGATTAAACTCTGCTGCAGTACGGATCACTCTGAAATAATGAAAGTGTTCTATTAGAGAGCTCAGCTCATGTTTTCTGCCGTCTCTGTTGCAGGGCCACAGTGATTGGGTGACTGATGTGTCAGTCAGCGCTGACAGGAAGTTGGTGGCCTCTGCCTCTAAGGTACCGGTCCCCTCAGTCCAGGTCCTTTCCATCATCGTGATCACTGTCGCGCTCATGATAAAGTTACAGACATGTTTGTTAGCACTGTATCTTCAGAGATGGGACGTCTCCTGATGACCTGCTGAAATCTGAGCTTGACTTCTTCCAGTATTCCTTTTTTGGACCTGGAGAATGTTTTAAGTCTGAATGTGTGATGCCTGATGGGACCCAGGTGGACCAGGGGTCTCATTAAAAAACGGTGCGTACGTACAAAACTGGGCTGGAAACGTGCGGACGCCACTTCCCAAGCAAAGGGTTTGATCTATAAGAAACAAACTTGAGGGGAGAATGTGCCGTAAGTAAACTCTGAACCACGCGTAAGCACATAAAGAGGAGAAAAGAGAAACGGTGACTCACTATTACCTCTGAGTATTACAGGCTTACAGCCTTTCTAAATAATCAAAAACACGTTTGATTGATTTTCCCTGAAGTGCGCAATAAAAAAACATAATTTAAGATAATTTGCAGCCACAAAAAGAACCATGACTGAGGATAATAAACACAAACGGAGATTCTGTTTCTGCAAAAGAACGCCTCAAATATGTTGGACAGTTTAATCAGGAATCATTTAATTTATACTTGCATGCATTGAAATTTATTCTCATAAATAAGATACGAGAGCAGAGTTTCATATTTTACATTGTTATCACATGTTCGTTTCCTTATCGAGCCAAAACGCTGAGTGCCAGCGTGTGGATGTGATGCGCTGCTTGTAAAAAAATAACACTATTTTATTGTCATTTACAACAAGTTATATTTCCTTTTAACTCTTCGCCAGCCTCGTTAAGTGAGTGCCGTGTTTGTGTAGCCTAAATAAATGTTTAAACACAAACGGGAGGCATTTGGTTTCCTCTCTTTTCAAACGGGGGAATCCAGATCAGTATCTGGGTCGTCCCGTCTGTGTGTCCCCCTTCGGTCAGTGACGTCACTACTCAGAGGGAGGCCCCTTCCTGCAGATCGGTTATAAAGGGTTGGAGCCCGGGGCCCCCTTTCTCCTGTGCACAAGCGTTCCGTGAAAGTGCGTCTTTTACCCACCAAACAGCTTCAGCTTCACCAAAAGGAACGACAGCGTCACTGAGTTAAATCTCGTTTTGTAGCTTCTCTGTTTGCCTCCTTTTTGAAAAGTTTGCCTCCTTTTCTTCCTGCAGTCAGGACGGATTAATATTAATGAGCGGCGTTTCACTGACCATTTATAAGCAACTGTGGGTGTTTGGAGGGTTGGACATGGAGTTCCCTCACATGCGTCACATTTCAAGTTGATTGTGATTTATAAAGGGAACTTGCTTACAAGTGTGTGTACGCATGGTTTTATAAGTCTGAATATTTTTTTCCGTACACCATTTTTGGCTTTTGAGTGCGCGTACACTTTTAGTGAAGATTCTATGCACAGTTTTATAAATGAGACCCCTGGTCTGTTCCAGTTGGCATCATACAATGTGTGATATGTAGAGAGTCTCAAGTCTTCGTATCGAGTCGCTTCACAAAATTTACTTCACTTATTTAAACGTGTTGGATTTTTGTGACTGACGTCAGCGACCACCGATGATGACATCAAGTGTGTGACGCTGAGGGAGACGTACCTGTAAACAGCTTCACTTGAAGGGAGCCTCAGATCCGGTTCCCTCTGTGGGCTCCACAGTCCTGGCTCTCACCAGACTCTGTGCATTTTTCCTCCGTTTTTGGCCTTTTGACCTCAAATGTTGCTGCATAAACGGGCTGCTGGTTGGCGTCCATGTTTGTTTTGGTACAAGAACACGTGATGTGTTTCGGGGCATCCACCTGCAGAGCTCCATGGTTACTGAGCAGAGGATTCAGTGTTGTCTGGTGGATTTACTCATCAGGTTTCTGCTCCTTCCTGACTGTCAAACACTGAAACATCTTTCTGCTGGTTTGTCTTTGTAGGTTCAGTCTTCAGATTTGTCCCACATGGACTCCCTTAGATTTTGAACCCTGGTGACCTGCTCCACATTGGTCAGCTGTTCTTTACACTTTAATAATAATAATCTTTAAACAAACAAAACCAACTAAAACAGTTGATTTTTAAACCAGAGTTTGGTCGGAAGCCCTGATTCCCCACACATGTTCATCCTTTCAGGATAAAGTGCAGAATGACTGCTGCAGAATCAGTTAGAGTTGCATTATCAATTATTTTGTTATTGATTTGATGAGTCAACTCTTGTGGTGTGTTCATGCGCTGGTGAAAAGCTGCGGCATCAGAGTCTCCTCTAGGGCTGCGTATTGACCATAATAGCCCAGTACCGATAGCGAAACTTCTCCTGTCAAACTGCATTCGATCCTTTTTGGAACAAGATCGGGGAAAAATACTATTTGTATGATTTTGCTCGCAGCAAAACTCTGCCTCTTTTTTTGTTGCTTATGTGCCGCACGGCGCATGTAAGCCTCAGCATCGGCGGCGGTCTCCGTTTATCACCACCAACTTGTCTTTCCGTTGGTTTCGTCCTCTGAAATCCTTTAACACTCAGTATATTTCGATGTTGTCGGTCTGATCAGCTGTATGTGCAGCTTTATTTTCCTTTGCTTCTTTGTCTTAAGAGTAGTTTAGTGACTTGGGACTCCTCACACGTTTTCTTCTTCTTACTGTCGTCTCTTTGGAGGAAATGTGTGACTCACCACTAAAGGAAAAAGCACTCGCAGAGATCTTTATATTCAGTTCAAGATTTGTTGCGGTCACTGAACTTTTTCACTCCTCTCGCATTCAAATACAGAAACACCTCCCGAGCTGTCGCCCTTCCTCTGATTATAACGTGAGGAGGGCCTGAACAGGACGAGGAGCGGTCTGATATGATTTCCCAATATTTTTATATTATTTCAAACAATAAAAAGAAAAGAAAACATGTGTTAAGTGCAAATACTCTGTTGGTATCAGTGTCACTTTAAAGGTACTGGTTTTTGAAACCCAGCCCTGGTCTCCTCTGTCTCTGCAGGACAGGACGGTCCGGTTATGGAACACAGAGAACATGGAGGAAATCCCACAAGTCCTGGAGCGGAGGAGGACCGAAGGAACAGGAATTCACATCCTCAAGGTGAAAAACAATCCGTCATTTGTTTTGTCTGTATAACTTTAGTTTCATCAATAAAAACTGTTGTTGTTTCCAGTGTGAAGAGTGCGGGAAGCCGTTCCCCGTGTCCAGACTGCAGACCTCAGAGCTGCTGACCCGGTGCGTCTTCTGTCGACTCAAATCGCCCCCCGCATACCGACCGCAGCCTCCGCCTCTCATGTGACTTCCTGTCCAGGAGGTCAGAGCAGCAGCTGGTAGGGCGGGTGGGGTGGATACTGGCATTATGCAAACTACAAAAAACAATCTAAAGTCTTGCTGGCGTCCCCCAGAGGCTGCAGTGTTTATTACAGCCGCAGCATCATGTTAGCACTTGGTTGCAGCCCCCCCCCCAGTGGATGAACTCTCATCATCATCATGTCATCATCGAACAGCTGCAGCTAAATGTGTTGTTAGAAAGAAAGTAGAGAATAAAAAACAGGATTTCACTTTCTGTTTAAATGACATTTTGCCTGAATTCAAGCAAATTTTTATTATTATAATTTGACATAAAGTACATCTGTAAACTCTTCAGAGAATTCAGGAAGCTTTTCCTCTCTGCGTCACAAACACTTGTGTGATCACATCTGTGAGATAGAAGCTACGTAAATGTCTCGTCCTCAGACTAAACAAACAACGCCGTCCAGGTGTCACCTCTCGTTTTTGAGCACAAATCTTGTGTTTTTATGTTTTGTTATGGAGCACATACACTTTGCCTGAAGCTCCGGTTCCAAACAGTTAGTCAAGTATTCGTTGTTTAAGTATTTTATCAAGCAGCCGGCATCATTTACACGCAACTAATTCCAGCTTCTGAAATGTGAGGGTTTGCTGCTTTTATCTATTTTATACCATCAACTGTTGGTCGGACAAAAAGTGTGCAGGCTTATTTTGGTTAAATGTGATCGACATTTTTCATAGACTTAAAGGTCCTCCTGGGAGCACGAACCTCACGACCATCTATCCATCAGGTTTTGGTATTTCTAGTGTCCATGTGGAAAGTTTGTCCTGAGGAAAGGTCCGCAGGGTTTGTCCTCTGGGGACCGTGAATGTCCATCAGTCTGAGCAGCAGGTTGTGTCGGACAGAAGACGTGCTCATCGCCGTCTTTTAGAAGAGCGTCTGTGTTGGATCATCAGAAGACGCTCTGCAGCAGACAGTGGCAGCCGCAGCCGGCCGGACACTCGTCCTGCCGGCGGAACCAGTCCATCATGTGGCTGGTGTGTCCGCCGTGACCACAGCTGAGGCAGAAGTTGGAGGAGCCGCGGACGGCCACGTGGCAGATGGCGCACTGGAAGGTCAGACGCTTACAGACGGCACACTGCGTCCCACGAGCCTGAGTGCGGCAGTGACAGCAGTACACGCCGAACTCTGCAGGGAGACAACACACGGGGTTAAATTAAGGCTGGGCAATAAAACGATAATTATCGCAATATAAGTTTCCTCAATATCAATATAGTTAATGTTCAATATATCGTCAACAAATATTTGGTTTAATTCAGAACATGAACAAATTTGCAGTTAATTTTTTCGTTAAAATATTTATTTTGTTGCGGAAAAGGGACTGAAAAAAGATTTACTAATATACTAGTTTAGTTATAATACTAGTTTTGAATATTCTCCCTCAGTTTTGTTAAGTGATTCACTGTTAGCATCAAGTGTTTCTCCCATTCTGACCACAAAGAAAAGTTTAACCACATAATTAACCATCTGGTTGCTTAAATTTTCATTCTGGAGCAAAAATCTGCCTTTAAACGTATCGCCCAGCCATAGGTTAAATAACAGACCAGGTTCAGATCGGGTTCATCAGGCACTTAATAACAATCTGTTCATCCAGACTAGAGCCCAGCGATCAGCTGTTCTTCTGTTCACTACGTGAGACTCATTCACTATATAGTGAGCTCGCCATTTTGTAGTGCTGTCCGAATGTATAGTGAGAGTTATTATACCCTATTTAGTCCACTCAATGTATCCCAGAATGCATTTTGAAAAGTAGAGTACAACCGATGGTCACTAACCAAGCCCTACATACCATCATGCATTGCGCTGATAGAAAAGACTGATTGTCCGACGGCAATGACGTAATTAACGAACGATCGGAGTAGTGTCCGAAAGTGTTGTTTTAATATAGTGAGCTCACTATATAGCGCTCGACATACAACTCCCTGGATCAGAGTTGATGGAGAACCGATTGGTTCTGATCTGGTTTTCCCGCTGATGTCCTTTCGGCTGCTCTGCCTCCACTTTAGGTGATTTACAGAGTTATATGTTACAGGTCACTGTAGCTGCTAACAGCAGCTGCTGCTAGCTACCCAGTTAGCTGTGCAGCTAGCTGTCCTGTTGCTGATTCTGCCCGGCTTGGTATGTTGTTGTTGTTGTTGTTGGGGATGGTGCATTGGATAAGACACATGCCTCTAGTGTGAGAGACCCCGGTTCAGTCCCCCACTGTGACACATCTAGCGCTTGTTGGCATTCGCCCGTTTTCCCGGGGTCTTTTGGGTGTGAGAAATTTACATGTTTGAAGAAACTTAGGAGATCAGTCCTATACAACTCTTTTTATTCAGCTATTCCAAGGGAAACACAGTTTTCCATCTAAGACACCTTTAACAATCAGCAGCTGTCTGCAGAGTAACGTACCGATGCCTTTGTGGGGTTCAGGAGGGCAGGAGGCGAACTTCAGCACGTCGGCCCTTTTCTCCCTCAGACCCCAGCGGTACAAGATTTCTCCGTAACACTTCTTGAAGTCGTCAAACTGCAGCGTGTTGGCGGGGTCCAGCAGTCTGCAGGGGGTAAAGGAAGTGACATCGGAGTTGTGTTCACGACACACAGACCAATCACAGCAGTTCTTTTACGTTTAATGATAGTTTCGCACACGACTTGACAGAGGATTCTTACTTTACTATGAAACAAGTTAACATAGCGCAGTCCTGCTCCAGCCAAACTCCATTCAGAAAACAAGCATTTTAAAAGTTGTTTGCTTGTCATCTAACTGACCGACCTGATAAAGCACAACTTAATACTTTTAACAAAGCAGCATCATGATGTCGTTATTTCTGCATCAGTTTGATCCGTTTATTGTAACTAAATCACAGAAAGATGTTTATTTTGAGTTCATACAGCTGTAGTAATATTCTCGTTGTGTTTATTAACATTGTGTTGCCAACACACTCGTCAAACTCAGGTGACAAACGCGATGGGAATTTGGAAATTTGCGTGGAACCGGCGTGACGTCACCTCTTGTTCATGTCGTGCTGCTCTCGCTCTCGTTCCCGAGGGTCTGTGTAACCCTGGTTACCATAGCGATAGTCATCAGGGGAGGGTTCACCCCAGGGGTTGACGTGCTCAGAATCTCTACCTGCGGACGACAACAAAAAAACCCCCATCTGATTGGCTGGAGATGGAGTCCAAACACGGACGGTAACACAGCGCAGCAGTAATGCGGCGGCCGGCGTCCGCGAGTCTCACCTGCGTTCCAGGTGGTCGTGGTGATGGAGTCCGAGGTGCTGGAGCACGAGCCCGAGGTGACGGAGCTGGACGTGTAACTGGGCTGAGACAGTAACAGACACTTAATTACATCACCGTGTATCATCATCACGTTCCTGCTGTATTTGTGTTTATAAATAGGAACCTGAACTGTTTTATTATAATATTTCAAGTGATCACGATTAGTTTTTCTGGTTCCTGGCAGGACGGTTTAAAAGCTGTTAAACAAAGACAAAAAATTAATTCATAGTGAGTCACTTTAAAAATGGACTCCAGAAAGTCACTCAGCAGACGAGCAAGTTCATTCAGCTCCGATTCTTCTCTCTGTGAGTCAGGTGATCGCTTGGTCCCTAAAATGTCGACACGGTTTCTTAAACATCCCGTTTTCAACAGAGCGAGTCAGGACTTACGTATCGCGAGTGGTGCGGGGGGAAGATGGAGGAGCGTGACGCCTGCTGTCCGTACAGAGAGTAACAGTCTGCAGGAGGCTGAGCTCTGAACACGCTGCACAACATGGCCAGAGTCTGCACGTCGCTCATCTGACTGTAGTGATCCAGACTGAAAGGTTCAACACACACATATCTCATTTCACAGAGTCACACGTCCACCCTCGTTACGCAACACTTTTACATTCAAACTCGCTATTTCATAACTCCCAAAATAAAATCTAGGCAACTCGCTATACAACAGAACAGCTGGAGCCTGTGTGGAAGCAGCCCACGCACACATCTTCTGCAACCGTTCAAAAAGGAGGACATACTGGCAAAATGTTAGTTTAGTTGTAAATAATGTCCTGGGATATGAAATCCCAAGTACTTGTCCAGTGATGTATCTTGGTAATATTGAGAAGTATTACTCGCATCCAGTAAGAAAGTGGTCACAAGAAACTGAATGTAAACATCCCAAAACGGGAACAGAGGTTGGAAATTGTCCAGGAAAAATTGACACACCTCTTGAGAGTTGAAGAGAATGGAACAGCGGATCATCTCCGGCAGATTGTTATTTTAGTTTGTAACTTATTTGCCGTAATTGTTTTGTCTATATTTATGTGAAAACTCAATAAAAATTTAAGTTACAAAAAAAGCAAAAATCACAAATTAAAAACAAACACAAATAAAATACAATTAACCAAATTTACAAATAGTAGTATTAGCTAATAATATATTTTTCTGCTGTTATAGTAGATGTTATCATATTACTCTCTGTGTGTATTTGTACTGCTTGCTTTGTAATTTTAATTGCTTTTTTATCATTTATGTTTTTATTCCGTTTCCTAACTGCTTGTGTTTTACTTTTCTCTGCATGTGTTCTTATTTCTGTTGATCTGAATTAGTAAAAGTTGATCTAATATTATTTGAACACATATAACTACTGGCTGAAAAAGATATATATTTCTGAGGATTTACAGGCTGCTACGTGAAGCTTCAGCTCGCTCGGATTTAAACTCACAGAGTCTCCAGCAGTTGCCGTCCAAACGGGTGTCTGGCCCAGGGGGTCTCTGTGTCCGGGTCTGAGTCTGGACTCAGGTCCTGATCAGTCGCTGCAGACGCCAGGGCCCACACCTGTATATATACACACACACACACACACACACACACACACACACACACACACACACACACACACACAGGTGTGAGGGCCTCATATTGGTACCAATATTGATGATCAAACATACAGTACAGCAGAGAGCGGAGGTCCAGGTCCACAGAACAGACTAGAAGTTTGGATTCGTTTTATGGCGTTTACCCGCCGCCGGTACCAGCTCAGCTTGCCTCGCCTCGCTTTTGTTGGCCAGTTTTTTCATGGCCCTCTCAGCTGGGTTTCCATCTAATTGTCAAGTGAATTTTAAAAATGTCGCAAAAAATAAAAACAATTGATTTAGGCACGTTTCCATCAGCAGGTCTGGAGCGAATAGCAAAGTGTAGTTTCTTCAGAAGTTGACGTTACGCATGGCTGTAACAAACATGAAGTAGGAAAAATTAAAGAATTTCCCCTCGGGGATCAATAAAGCAGTGATGATGCAGTGAATAAAGACTTTCTGCCCAATTGAAAACCAAAACCGGCGAGTAGAGTCGAGGTGAGCTGGGCTGGTACTGTCCTGTGGTAAAGGGACTTTTTGGTAAACGCAGCGCCACCTTCAGGAGAGCTGCTGTGAGGATTCAGAGGTACCTTCGCCACATCTCTGCGTCCGACTGTGAGCGCCGCTGCTGCGTTCTTCTTGCATGTTTCCTGGATGTCGTTCACGTTCAGTCTGAGCAGGACAGAAATCATCTAAATACATTGAAATATTACCCAAACACACAATTACACAGCAAGTATTTTGTTTGGTTTTTAGAATACTGCCGTTCTCACATGTAGATCTCCCCCAGAGCCTTGTGGACGGGCAGCAGACAGGAGATCTCCTGGATGATGACTTTCCCCGCCAGTTTGATGGGACGGTTGCCGTAGTCCGTCCCCTCTCGCTTCGTCTTAAACCGGCGGGATTTCTAACAGACAAGCAGAGAGACAGACAGACAGACAGGAGGAGGGAGACGGCAGCCCGGAGGAGACAAAGCACCACCTGATTAAAAGTGGTCTGGAAGACATAAATTACTATAAGAGGCTGTTCACGCTGCGGGGCGCTGACTGATGCTGGACGGTTCCTACGAGCCGCTGTAACTGTAAAGGAAAATGTCCTTTTAATTTTGAGAGGGACTTTTTACAGTTAGTATTCAAATATGTTACGAGCATCGGGGGCCTCAGCGCGGCCCCCGATGAATCGTAACGTTTGGGACACTTCACAGAGCAAACATTAGGGTCGGATCGTTAGTGGTAAATCAGTGCTGGAACTCGTTCACCAGTGAGAGTCAGTCAGTCTGTGAGCGCTCGCAGTGTGAACACACGGTTAGTTTTCAGTTTAAACTCATCCGTCGCTTCAACAGCCAAATTACCTTAAAAAAAAAGTCTCAAATTAAGCTTGAAATTAAAATAAAAACAGCCGGAGTTCTGCGCTGGCTGTCACAGAAACATACCTGCTGTTAATTGTTAGTGAAAAAAGCTTCAGACGCCGACAGACAGGAAGTCAGGCAGCAGAGTTTGGAGTGAATTTGAATTTTGCTGTAATAATAATTCTAGTCACTGCTGCTAAACGCTGCAGAGTCAACAGAAAACACTGAAAATGCTGAGTGCTAACGGTGCATTCAGGTGCTCCTCGGATGGTCCTAATTCCCAAGTTGTGAAAAAAAACCTGGTGAATGGCGTCTCTGTCATCTGTAAGATTGAAATCCGTGGCAGGATTTCTATCGCAAGAACAGCATAATGTTTTAACTCTTCAGCAAGATATAAGAAGCCACAACAAGTACATAAAGTTCAATGTGAGTTGTTTGAAAGAAGCTGGCTCGGTGTTCTCAGTATGGATATCAAGGCAGAGGCTGAAGAGACCGAAGAAGACGAGGAGGAAGTGAGGAAAAGAAAAACAGACGAGCGAGACAAAGCGAGACTGGCTTTTACTGGCTGAGCTAAGAAAGAGCTGACGTGCTGCAGGATAGACGGCGAGCTGGCCTTCTTCCTGTTGGACTCGTCAGCAAACACTAAACAGCTGCTCGCTGTGTCTTGTGTTGCCGCACTTGCTTGATGTTTGGCAAAGTTGGTGACTTGCTAGTTTTAGATATTTAATCAGAACAAACGCATCTTACACCATGTTGCTTTGAAGTGAGCTAACTTTACGTTTGCGTTGGTTTTATGAATAAATAAACTACATTCGTCAGCCTGAGATTCAAGTAAACCAAAGAAACATAATCACATCGTCAAAATTCAAATTCAGGACACGTGATGTCAGTTCACTTTGTTAGTTACACAGATCTCAGTCCGTGTTAGTCGAGAGGACGCCGGCCAATCAGTGACATGCAAAAAAAACAACAACTGTTAAAATCCCAACGAGGAGAAACCCAGAGGAGGAGGAGGAGAGGGAGGGATGGACAGAGATCAGTACCGGCCAGTCATGGAGGGTTTGGACAGACCAGCGGCGGGATGCAGAGATTGGGAGCTTCTGATTGGAGGAGAATAGGATGAAGGAGTGACCCACAGCAGCATGGGGCGAGGTGATTGGCCAGAGAAAAACAACATGAGAAACAATTAAAGAAAACAAACAGAAGCCCATCAGGGAGACAGCCAAGCTTCACTTTCCCAGGCACCACGAACTACACATCGGCTCAGCGCGTGTGCTGGGAATATGGACCGTGAAGGAGGCGGAGCTTCACTTTATCAGGACTTCTGCATGTTCACTCTCCTGTCAAAGCTCTGAGGTCGTCCGATCAGATGCCCCTCGATGTTCCCAGATCCAGGTTAAAGAACAAAAGTGGCCGAGCCTTTCGGTGGCGGACAGCGGCTTTACCTGTTCGAATTCAAACTGCTGAAGTGTTAAAGTTCTTGCTTAAGACTAGGCGTGTGTGGGGGGGTCTATACAGCAATATAGATTTGCGATATTTTACGTGGCAATATTGTATCAAGTAGTGCTGACCCCCAATAGTCGAAGATTTGATGCTTCGATGGGCGGAGCCTAATTCCACTGTCAATCTCACAGTCGAAGCTTTGCAGCGAAACAAGGATCACACCATTTTGGCGATATGGGGGTGCTCAACGTCTTCTCCCAAAAACTTAATATACAGCCTGTTACGATATACATTTAAATGTTTAATGCTGTAAATAAACATGTAAAAAGAATAAAACTTTCAATAAATGTTTTTAAAAGTGCGTAAATGAATCCAAAATTGTAACCCAAACCCTGGGGCGTCAGAGGAGCACTTGCTGAAGAGACGGAGCCCCGGCTTCACTGGTGTTGTGCAGAGTTGTCCGTTTATCACAGTTTATCAACCACATAAAGAATATTTTATCGTTTTTAAACAGCCGGCTACCTCAAATAGACCCGCGAGGAACCGCGACGTGCAGGCAGCTGTCGGCAGCACGTCAAAAACTCTGCACAAGACCGGTGAATGACAGGCGAGAGAGAGAGAGAGAGAGAGAGAGAGACAGAAAAGGGTCTTCAAAAAGCCTCAGTTTAGCTGGAAAATTACAGTGTAAGTTGAATGAATGGAGACTGCAGCTCTGCAGCTTCTCAAGATGAAAGCGGAGCTACAGTGTGTAACCCGCCTGCCGGCTCGCAATCACCGTGAACAAAAACACACGATTCGACTACAGGCAGGACTTGACGATTCTGACTATGTAAATCCTTACTCGGGGACAATCCTGGTATCAATACACGGACGTCAAGTATCGATCTTTTATTATATTAATTGTATATGAGAATTTTACTTTTTGGTACTACAATAAGAAAATCGGTTGCTTTTTCAGGAAGAGTGTTTTCCTTTGGGGACACAATTTGAAGCTGGAAAACAAGGTAATAAAGTGCAATCAATTTTTAAAATTGCAATAATATCGTATCGTGGGGCCTCTGGTGATTCCCACCCCTACTTAAGACCCACCTCAAGTTATTTTAAGCTGAATCATGCTTTAACTGTTTGGTTCCTGGGAACTTGCTTTGGGACATTTGGCATTTTGTTTTACTAAACAACTGATTGATAGACTTACCGTTAATAAAACAAAATAATCATTGGTTAGAGTCGTAATATTCGTGGTTCTGAGCTTGTGAATTTGTGGCTGTGTGCTCAGCTCTCTTCACCTCCTGGTTACTGGTCTGATGTGTTCTGTGCTCCCTCAGTAGTTTTGGTCTTAATGAACTTCCACACGGTTTACAGAGACGTCTCCAAACGTAGAGAAAGGACAACTTTCTGCTTTAAACACGTCAGTGATGGTGTAAAGTGTGTGTGTGTGTGTGTCTCACCCGTTCTTTATAGTAGAAGGAGGAAATGGACACGGTGTCTTTGTCGGAGCGAGTCGGGCTGCCGCTGTACAACCGCAGAGTGCTCTGAGACTCTGAACGCATCTTCATCGGGGTCAGCACTCCGCTGTGATAGGCCGACAGAGCCGACAGGGACCTGAACACACACAGAGACAAGTCCAGGGGGTGTTTAGCCTAGCTTAGCACAAAGACTGGAAGCAGGGGGAAACTGTTAGCCTGGTTCCATTAAGAGAGCTGTCGAACTGTAGATTAATTTCTAGATCGTCTCGATCTCAGTGAGGTTACCTGAGGTTACCAAAGCAGGAACCTCCGGGTCTGAAAGTGAAACCTGTGTTCTCTCCAGCAGCCAGCAGGGGGCGACTCCACCGGCTGCACATTTAGCTGATTTATTCCCTCAGTAAACACTTTCCTGATGAGTTTATGGTTTCTCTCTAGCCAAATTTAGCTTCTCAGCTAATATCACAGTTGGGCTGAACGATTTGGGGTAAAAATTTAATTGACCCTTCACTAAGCCCCGCCCCACTTAGTTACTGTTCGACAAGAGCTGTTTCTCAATAGCGAGTTCGGCAAGTTCGGACTTCTGTACTTTAAAGCTCCGACTTGGCAAGTTCGGCTCGGAGGTACAAACTCCCAGGAACGGGAGCACGCAGTCCGTCATTCAGCAAGTGGACTTGATGACGGCCGGACCAGTTAGCGGGCGGGACCTCACATCTCCGAAAACGTCGTCCCGATTTTTTATATCAGCTCTGTCTTGAGAAATCAACCACATGTTTGTAGTTAAAACAACTATATTCACGCATAAAAAACTCTTAAAACTACTATATGTGACACAAGAACAGCAAGATTATAAGTTACAGTTCTGAGTTTTCTTGCCTGACATTTCTGGCGAGCATTGCAGCGAAATGCATCCTGGGATATCTGGCAATCCAGAGGCCACACAAGTCACCACCGATGCAGGCTCCGTAAAACGGGCGGAGCGAGAACACATCCAGGTATTTGACTCTACTTGGCTAGATGTGGACTTTTGAATTGGAGCAGTACTTTGGCTGCGACTGATGACGTTTCAACACAAGTACAGAAAAGAACGCAGACTAAGAAACAGCGAAACTGTCGGCGCTGCCACTGTCTATTACTGCACTCCCCGGAGAAATATTGTCAAATTATTTGGAAAAAGCGATCTCAGAAAGAAGCTTTTCAGTTGCATTATACATTTGAAGGTTGTATTCAGTAAGCTAGCGTTAGCTAACTAACATTACATTAGGAACACAGCCGACATTTTTCTGGATTTATTTTAGGTTTTGGAAAGAGAATAAATTGTACTTCTCCTTTCAGCCTCTCTGGGTAGCTGCTGTAACTATTACAAGATGCCCCAGAAACAGCTTTTACCTGGGAGTGGGCTCAGTGGGCGGGACTGAGCGGTGCATTGTGATTGGTCGGGTGAAGTAAACCAGACAGCCGGTGCCGCAGAAACGAGCGCCGGAGGTCCGAGGGAACGGGATGTTGGCGTCCTGGGGAAAAAAAAAAAAAGATAAGACAGCTTTTTATGCTGCATGTTTGGATCTTTGGTCTGTGATGGATTCAGGGTGGATTTTAAATGTCTGTTACCTGATAGGAGCCGTATGTGTTGGTGACTCGAGGAAACGCCTGCATGGCCGGAGTGACAGGGTTAGACAGAACGAAGGGGCCAGAGCCCGGACCGTCCTCCTGCGTCTGAGACAGGAGACACGTCAATGAGGAGAGAGGGTCAGATTTAACTGTTGGTCTTTGACAGGAAATCAAGTCACAGGACGAAGTCTGGTAAACTAAATAGGAATATTAGACGCATGATCAGATATTTCACATCTAAAGGGTTCCTCCTGTGGTTTAAGTTTAAGGTTTGTCCTTGTGGTGGCGCTAGAGTCAGGGGTTCATCAAAACCATTATTGGAAATCTGGCCGGGAGTTGTTGACATGTCCCACTCTGGAACAAATGAACACTTTTATTACTAATAATGATGAAACATTAAAAGTGTTGAAAGCAAAATATGCTTCATAATAAATCTTTTCATCTTATAATTGTGTCAGAGACCAGAAGGAACCTCCTGGTTTTAAAGGAGACCTATTAAACTGCTTTTCCAGTCCTACATTGTAGTTCAAAAAAGTTCAAAAAAATATTTCTTTGTCTTCATGTAGGCCTTCATTTCAGCCTCTGTCTGAAACAAGCTGTAGATGCTCCTGTCTCTTTAAGCTTTGGCCATGCTTAACATGAACATCCAACATTATAACATTGTAGATAAGTCATAAAATGTGGAAAAGCAGAATAGGTCTCCTTTAAAAGTGAAGCCTTAAACCTGCGTCCTCTCCAGCAGCCAGCAGGGGGCGACTCCAGTGGCTGCAGGAAGAAGTGTGATTGTATAGAAGTCTGTGAGAAAATGTTTCTACTTGTCAGCTGATTTATTCCCTCAGTAAACACTTTCCTGATGAGTTTCTGGTCTCGGTCGCTAGTTTCAAGTCTTCTTCAACACAGCATGATGTTCATTTAGTAAATTATGGTCCCATTTAGAGGAACAGAGACCAGGAAGCAGGGGAGGCTTTAGGGCGGGGCTACAAGCTGATTGACAAGTCGCTACCAAACATGGTCACGTCTGGTTCCAAGATTGCGACAGCCAAAATGCCAAACTTTTGAGGAGGCGGCGGGTGAGAGGGAAGGACAGGAAACGAATGTGTGTGCGCGTCCTCACCATGTCCGACTCCAGACAGGACACCAGCTGTCGGACGCACGGCTCCAGACAGTTCTGGTTCCTCTTCACCTTCTGGAGCGACGTGTCGGTCAGAATCTGTCAAGAACACAAAGAGTCACTTCACATCCCAGAACGCCATCCACAGTGTTCGGGAGCATTCAGGCGCGTTCAGGAGCGTCTGTTCCTTCTGCTTTCAGATTTAAATTTTTACAGCAACAAAAACATCAACTGTGATTCTGTCTGTTCTTTTTTAATCTTTAAAGAAAAAGATAAATTAAAAACAAAACATGCAGGTGAAAATTCGGTTATTGAAAATTGGTTTGTGTTGTGGTGCGTTCAGGAGCCTCGGTACCTTCTGGATCTTGATCTTCATGGCGGAGGGGATGGTTGTGGGGGAGACGAACTGGAAGGAAGGCGCGGCGTTGTTGGGATACTGAGCGGGAAACTTGACCACCAGGTGAACCTGATGGCTGCCGAAGTGAGCCGACACCACGCAGCTGCGGTTCACCGCGTCCATCTGCGCAACACAAAACGCCTTTTTACATCACTTCCTGTTTGACAGTTTTCCATCTTTAAGTTAATATTTCGAGGTGCTAATATCAGCTTCTTATTCACGTTGTTTACTGACTGAATATAAATAGTTTCCATCTGAACAACTTTAATAATTAAATGTGTGAGAAGTTATTTACAGTTAAAACTCCAGAATCAATAATAACAACGGTGAGAACAGGAAGCTGCTGAGGCCCAGCGGCAGCAGCAGAAGTCCTCAGCACACCCAAAGCCCGGTCCGCCTGTCGAACGTGGCGTCGCAGACGGCCTGTGAATGTCTCACCTCCACGTTGACGTTCCTGATCTGCAGGTTGACCAGAGAGAACTCCTGCTGCAGAGTCTGAGGGAGACCTGAACCCACCGCCGAGTCCTGACGACCTCCAGAGCTCAGAGCGCCGTCCCGATCTGAGAGACGGACAGGGAACATTTACTGGAAGTATCATTTGGATTTTAGAAATACTACATACAGTACTAATCGTATACAGTAGGTACTTTATACTTACTGTCATGTTTTCAGATGTTATACAACACAAACCAACAGACGTTTTTTTCTTGCACTGCGTTTAATCTGCAGTATTTTCCAGCATGTGCTGCTGAACGTTGAAACGTTTCTCACCGTGCAGGTTTTCAGAAGCCGGGCCGACGCTGTGCTGACTCTCCTGAGACAACGGAGATTTCTCCGACTCCACGGTGAGAGACATCCCCTCCATCAGGTCCTCCACCACGTCACTGACACACAGCTACACAACAACAACACACAGACATCAGGATGCGCCAGGGGCCGACGCTACGAACACAGTTCAGCAGGACTCACAAACCTAAACAATCGAGCACACGACGCTGGTTAGCAACTTGTGAGAGAGCGGTAAGTTAGGAAGCCAACTGAGGGTCATTCTGCGTCAGTTAGAATGGCGACTGAAACCCTCGGGTCCCACCGGGGCCCCGCAGGGGACGGTCCTCTCTCCCTTCCTCTTCACCATCTACACCACAGACTTCAGCTACCACTCAGAGTCCGGCCACCTTCAGAAGTTTTCTGATGACTCTGCTGTGGTTGGATGTATCAGCAGGGTGATGAGGTGGCGGGGGGGGGGGACTTTGTCACAAAGACTAAAGAGCTGGTTGTGGATCTAAGGAGAGCCAAGGCACCAGTGAGCCCCGTCCATCCAGGGGGTCCCTGTGGAGGACTACAAATACCTGGAGTGCACATGGACAATAAACTGGACTGGGCCAAGAACACTGAGGCCTCCACAGGAAGGGCCAAAGCCGTCTCTATTCTCTGAGGAGGCTGAGGTCCTTCAACATCTGCAGGACGATGCTGAGGATGTTTTATGAGTCTGTGCTGTCCTGTTTGCTGTTGCATGCTGGGACAGCAGGCTGAGGGTAGCGGACGCCAACAGACTCAACAAACTGATCCAGGGCCAGTGACGTTGTGAGCTGGACTCTGTCGGTGGTGTCAGAGAGGAGGATGCTGTCCAAGCTACGTGTCATCTTGGACGATGTCTCTTACTCGCTCCATGACGTGCTGCTCAAACACAGGAGCACCTTCAGTGACAGACCCGTCCCCCCAAAATGCACCACAGAGCGCCACAGGAAGTCATTCCTGCTGTGGCCGTCAAACTTTATAACTCCTCCCTCTAAGTGTCTGACACTTAGTTATTAAACTAGACCTCATTATCTATTTTCTGTCCAATATTACCTGTTTAATAATTAATGTGCAGTATTCTCTGCTGCTTTTTATTCACTAGGACCTTTTGGTTCGCCATAATTCTTAATAATGTAAATATCGTACATACCCACAAACCTTTATATTCGTCTTTACATTTTATATTTATTCTCTTATATTTATATTCTCTTTATCTATCTAGCTTAAAAAGTGTGCCATTGTGACAAAAGAATTTCCCTTCGGGGATCAATAAAAGTATTTCTGATTCTGATTCCTGATCCAGCTGTGAGCGTGTTCACATAAAAGAGGCGGAGTTAGCAGCAGATGATCCAATCACAGACATGGACAAGTCCACTGGCAGCAGAGCGTCAAGAGCAAACTGTAACACTACAGAAATACGAGCTGGTCTAAGTAGCGCGGCTGCACATGCAGGGAGACAGCGTGACTGCCTAAACGAACAGGCGTAGTCTGTAATAATGCGTTGATTTGATGTGTTCTTATGAGCTGTGTGAAAATATCAGCCGGCGTTTGGTCGGCGTTTCCGCATTAAAAGACTCGGGCACTGAATAAGTGGTCGTTCCACCTGACATTAAAAATAAGATTAATTTATTTAACATGCTCAAAAGTGTTCCAGGTGGTACAGGCCCCTGGCCCCGGCCTCTCTGAGGCAGCACACTGACCTTCTGCAGCTGAGGATCCACCCTCCATATCCTCAGAGTCTGGTCTCTGGACCACGTGACCAGCTGGTAATCCTTAGACCCTGCAGTCAACAAACAACAACAACAAGACAAACAAACAGCTTCATTCACCTCCAACACTTAAACTGCACTTCCTGCACATAATTACATCATCAGAGATATGAACAAACACCGATATGACAATACTTGTTCTACTGCAGTACTTCAGTATTTAAATATGTCGACACTGCGTATCTGTCAGTAAACACTGCGTATCTGTCAGTAAACACTGCATATCCACAATAACAATCTGATACAAGCTGCTGACCCGAATCATCACAGGAGAACTTTGTCGTTATGAACGCATCTAATCCTGTGATATGATATGAACACAGACTGGTCCCTGCGACGGCATGTTGGGAACATTGTGAACGTGTACAGACCCGAGGAGGGGCGGAATATTCTGAGAAATAACTCTGAGTGATTCAAGTCGTACACCTGCGATAGAAAACTATTTTTCAGATGTGCTTGAGTTATTAAAGGCTCTGTACAATTAAAAGCAGTTACACAGATGTTAATAACAGCAGCCCTCACAGCTTCTTTCACTAACCAGCATCGTGAGACACTTCTTTCTGTTCAAAGAGCATTTAAAGATGTGACACCTGAAAGCTCCACCTCTTTGTCTGCACTGCCGTGGCATTGTGAGGCTGATATAACATCCTAAATAACAGCAGCCCTAATAACGTCTGACAGATTATTTTAAATCTACATTGGCCCTGACAGGCTGTGGTAGGTGTTCGTATCAGAAAGAAAAAGGCAGCGTTGTAATTCAAAAAATAACACATTGAAGCCACTTTGTGCAGAATTTGAAGAGTTCTGATGTCGGTTGTGTCAAAAAAAGGTTCAACTCTCTGTGTCCAATACGGAGATTAGCCTAGCTTAGCACAAAGACTGGAGGCGGAGGGAAACTGTTAGCCTCTCTCCATCAAAATAAAACTCCAAGTCTGTCGGATTTTCACAGAACTGGAGGCTGCCCTGTGCGCGTGTGAACTCTCCTGAATCTCAGCGTGTGATTGGTCACCTTCTTTCTGCGGTCTCCACTGGAACTCGAGCACCACGTCGTCGTGTCCAACGAAGGCGTGGACGGGACTGTTGAGGTCGAGCGTGCTCCACAGCAACAGGCTGTTCTCTCTCCTCAGCTGAGGAACCATCACTGTGACCAGACCGTTGGAGAACGGCTGACGACACACAAACAGGAAACACGTTTGACCTCTGATATCTTATCACACATCAGGATCTGCACGCCGATGTGTAACCGGAACCTGCAGCGTTCAGTGCTCCTACCAGGATCTGGTTTATTAGAAACAAGGTTACAGACCAGATGTGTGGACACTGGGTCTGCACGCCGCTTTCTAACTGAAATATTTTATCTGTGTCTCTGGAGGGATCGATAGAGTTTGATACTCACCGTGTACCTGGCCTTCCACACAGGCACTTGACAGGACAGGATGTTCAGATACTTCCGGGGCTGTCGGTAATCCCAAAACTAACGAGGGAGACAACAGAGGAGTGAAACTCTGGTGACACAGACTGAGATCACCTGGTATCAGCTGGTTCAGCTGCTGGATTCAAAGCTGCTTCTTCTCTCACGAGTCATTTCAACGCCAACATATGTGAAAACAGTGCCCAGGTTTAAATAATCAGCGGTGACCCCGAATAGTCGTATCAGTAATCAAGTTAATAATCATGCCGTTTTGGCTCTATGGGGCCGCTTAATGTAACTACTACTTTTCTCCCAATAAGTTAATATACAGCCTGTTATGATAGACAGAACGGTCAGACAGATAACTCAACATATAAAGCTGTAAATAAACATGTGAAGAGAAAGAAGCTTAAGCGTAGGTGACGGCGTAGAGTAGGGGGCAAATTTAAATGAGTATAACGTGATTTTTGCGAGGATCTGTAGGCCGAGACTCCGCTAAGATGGTTTAGCACAGTCTGAACAACAAAGACAGCATCGGCGTTGCGTTTGAGTCCGCTCGTTATTCTCACCCTCACGGAGTTGTCCTGGCTCGACGTGGCCAGGATGAACTCGTTGTCCGGGTGCCAGTCGAGGCCGTGGATCTTGGACAGGTGAGCCGCCACGTACTCCGCCGCCGTGTTCGGCTTCTGTTCAGAAAATAAAAATCACACAGAGATTTACACCACTGGTGCTCACGTCCGGCTCACGGTGGCTCAAATAACGTGATCAGTCCGCTCACTCTTTTATCCCAGATCCGTACGTCTCCGTCGTGACTGGACGCCAGCAGGTACTGGTTCTTCCTGTTCCACTTCACCTGAGACGCCCCGGCTGGACACGAGAGAGTGACGGGATGCAAAGAAGAGAATAAACTCAAGAGGCAGAAATAACTTCAGCCTGTTTTAGCTCTTAAACTGCCGTCATCACGTTCACTTTATTGTCCTGATCACCCCTCAGTTTGTAGATTAACAAAGAAAGATTCACTACATCCAAACGCCTCATTCAGGGGAAGGTGGTGCAGAAAAGATCAACTTCCTGGCGCTCAAGTGGACGGTAAAAAATAAGATGTTTTTAATAAATTTGGAAGAATACATTTTAAAAAACGTAACGGGTAAAACTTCATCCATTGCTTCTGTTTCCTTTCTTTCTTTATTTGTCAAAGTTGCATTATTTTCAGGCAGTAACACATCAAGCAGGTACTGTTTACTACTCCCCGATGGTGCATTCAAGGACACTCTGAAATCTGAACAGCCACGTTTGTTGCTGAAAATCGTTCAAAGATGTGATTATAGAAACGTAGTGAACCCAGCGCCGGCCAGGAGGACCGGAGGTCCGTCTGAAACCTGAAACAATCACCGGGTCCTTTAAATACTCACCAACAGCAGACAACGCCACCGTGGGTTTCCGAGTGTCTCTGTGGAGCCAAACAGAGAAAGTGTTTAGGCGGGAAACTGCTCAGATCCATCTGCTGATGAAGCTCCTGAACAGCTAAAGAAAGGACCTCGTGGTCAGACTCCACTACATGTTTCTGATGAATCGTTTTCTCTGACCTGGTGTCCCAGATGTAGATGTAGGTGTCCACTGAGCTGGTGACCAGGAGCTCCGGCTCAAACCAGGACCAGTCCAGATCACTGAGGACACCAACACACCACAGTCAGTCCATGAACGCACCACGCTGAGTCCACAAACCCAACACAGCGAGTCCACGAACGCACCACGCTGAGTCCACGAACCCAACACAGCGAGTCCACAAACCCAACACAGCGAGTCCATGAACGCACCACGCTGAGTCCACGAACCCAACACAGCGAGTCCACAAACCCAACACAGCGAGTCCATGAACGCACCACGCTGAGTCCACGAACCCAACACAGCGAGTCCATGAACGCACCACGCTGAGTCCACAAACCCAACACAGCGAGTCCATGAACGCACCACGCTGAGTCCACGAACCCAACACAGCGAGTCCATGAACGCACCACACTGAGTCCACAAACCCAACACAGCGAGTCCATGAACGCACCACGCTGAGTCCACGAACCCAACACAGCGAGTCCATGAACGCACCACGCTGAGTCCACAAACCCAACACAGCGAGTCCATGAACGCACCACGCTGAGTCCACGAACCCAACACAGCGAGTCCACGAACGCACCACGCTGAGTCCACGAACCCAACACAGCGAGTCCACAAACCCAACACAGCGAGTCCATGAACGCACCACGCTGAGTCCACGAACCCAACACAGCGAGTCCATGAACGCACCACGCTGAGTCCACAAACCCAACACAGCGAGTCCATGAACGCACCACGCTGAGTCCACGAACCCAACACAGCGAGTCCACAAACCCAACACAGCGAGTCCATGAACGCACCACGCTGAGTCCACGAACCCAACACAGCGAGTCCACAAACCCAACACAGCGAGTCCATGAACGCACCACGCTGAGTCCACGAACCCAACACAGCGAGTCCACGAACCCAACACAGCGAGTCCATGAACGCACCACGCTGAGTCCACGAACCCAACACAGCGAGTCCACGAACCCAACACAGCGAGTCCGTGAACGCAACACAGCGAGTCCACGAACCCAACACAGCGAGTCCATGAACGCACCACGCTGAGTCCACGAACCCAACACAGCGAGTCCGTGAACGCAACACAGCGAGTCCACGAACGCACCACGCTGAGTCCACAAACTCAACACAGCGAGTCCATGAACGTCACACTGAGTCCATGAACGCACCACACTGAGTCCATGAACGCGTCACACTGAGGGCAGAGTGCTGGTTAACCTGCCGAGGTGCGTTTGATTGTTACCTGATGACCCGGGTGTGTCCCTGCAGGGAGGTGTGCACTTCTCCACAGCCGTCCCTCCACGAGTACAGATCCACACGCTGGTTACTCTGAAAACAACACGGTTTATTTCAGAGCAGAGATTTTCTTTCAATCCCTTCATGTCCATGTTTATCAGCAGCAGAACTCACCGAGGCAGCGAAGACGTGGGACTCTGACCTGTGGGGATTCCACTGGACCGTCCCCACGTCCCATTTACTCTGTCGGCCGATCTTCCTGGGAGGCTCAGACGGAGCCTCCAGGTTCACCATGTACAGGAAACGCCGCCTGAGAAAGAAGGAAACTTCAAAAAAGATCTTCTCCACTTCAGGTAAACCCTGAAATTCCTGTCTCGCCACCAAGTCACTGTCTCACAAAATCACCTAATCTGCATTAAATGACTTCCCATCGCCTGGAATCCCACAATGCCTTGTGAAGTGAACTTACCCGGACAGCACGGCGTGAGAGCCCAGACAGTCCACTGACATGGCGGTGGCCTGAAAACAGAGAAGAAGAAAGAAGGTGACCGCTGATCTGACTTTGTCTTTCTTTACATCAATATTTGAGAGTTTTAAAAATAAGCTGCTTTTTAAAAAATTACATAAACATGAACTTTTAAATACAGATATTTTAAATGTGGTTCTCAAAAAGAAGAATGTGTTTGGCAATTTTTTATTCCTTAAAACTTACTACTCGTTATTTAAAAGCTACTAGTGCTTATTTATTAGTAACTATATGAATAGTTACTAAGAACCATTTCCATTTTACTAAAATCTATTATTTACATACTCCTGATACCAGTTCAATACTTACTAGTATCTATTCTAAAACATTTTTCTTCTAACTAGTAACTTTCTTTTGTTACTAGTTGTTCATTAATAACCAGTAAAATGGCTTTTTGACACCAACTAATGCAAGAGGCTAAAGGCTTTCTTTAAATCACAGTTTCCTTTATTCTATTTGTGAAAATTAAAAAATTATTTGTATATATATATTTTTTTTTTTGCATGTAGACCAGGTCCAGATCAAAAACCACAGAGAGCTGTCAAATCTGGACTAGATTGACGCAGAGAGGCTAAAGTTTCTTTAAAACACAGTTTCAGATTTGTGAAACCTTTATTCGGTTTGTGAAAATGCAAATAAAAGGCGATACCACCTCGGACCAGGTCCAGATCAAAAACCACTAAACATACTGTTTATATATGTTGTTAGATTTTGCCACCTCTGTTTTGCCCAAATTTCCACCTCAAACTGGTGCAGAAATTTAGTGTTTGTGCAGAAAGTGTTTAGTCCTGAAAATGTTTCCGGGTTCCGGATTTAGGCTGTGATGTGTGGAGGTTTGAAAATAAGATGATCTCACTGATCTGACCGTGATTATTGGCTGTTTATATCAACAGCTGTTTCCACAGAGAGCCCTAATTTATTGATCCTTTCTCTCAGTAATCAATAACTCTCATTGGCTCCTTCTTTTCCCGCCTTTTCCTTTAACACATAGCTACAACCAGAGCACGTGCTTCTTCTGCATTAATAACTTTATTATTAAATTATAAACATTAAAGTCGATCATCTCGGCTAATCTTTGCTAAACTGGGTATTAACGTGACGTACGGCCGGTGTGCACGTTTTCCTGACGCTGTCACGTGCTCCACCACCTGTTCACCTGTAGGTTACACCTGAGCGGCCGGTCACTTTATTCTACACCTGAGCTTTCGGGCAGAAGTACCTGAGCATCCCGAAACTCCACCACCACATTCTCGCTGCTCCAGCGGGCCGCCATCTTCCTGCGTCTTCTACCGTCAACAAAACGTCACGTGATCGCGATGAGACGACACGCTGCGTTCACGGTCTCTGGGAAAACCGGAAATATCACCATTTGAGGAATTATGTCCGTAAAGATACCAACAAATACGTTTAATGATGGCTTGTTTTGGCGAGTGAAGTCATATTAATAAGGCTGAGATATTAACCATTACGTGAACAACATTTAGGTCCAAATTGTAACGTTTCCTCCGGTTCAAAACTCATATAACAATGTTTTCGGCGTTTTTCTGAGGACGTTAAAGTTAATTTAGCTTACTTACTCGCGCACACAACAAACCGAATGACCTGAGGTAACTGACAAGCATAAAGTAATGTAATGTAACGTAATAAACTGATTTTTAAACACCGAGTTGATGAAGGTAAACGGATCTATGACAGTGAACGAGGCTTCGTTGTCTTCTTTCTACCACGAGGCTGCTTCCTCTCTTCTGATTGGTCGCTCCAGGTGCTGGTCATCGATCCAAGATGGCGTCTTCCCTGGTGGAGCATGTTGTCGCAGATGCAGGAGCGTTTTTAAAGAAAGCCCCTCTCCAGGTGAGACTTTGTTCATGTTTGGAAACAGAAATAGAGTTTTTGATAAACGGACTGTCGGACAGTCGGCGTGTTTTCCTGAGGGTCAGTGAATCAGCCTGCGGGAAGCTGCCTCACAGGCCCGCAGCTGCGCACGCAGGCTGCTGGACCTGCTGATCAACTTTAAATACTGGTTTTATCAAGAGTTACAGATCAAGATCTTACATCCGAGTCTGAGTTTACATTCCTGTCAGTTATTACAACAGTCAGCTGAGCCTTTAAATAACTTTTATTCCACATTGCTTTATAGAAATTGCAGAATGAGCTAATTTCCCTTTTTTAAATATATTTTTCATCTTCTTACCTTTTAAACTCCATGTGTATTAAAGTGATGAAGATGTGTGCCTTCACGTCGACACAGACTGAGCTTCTAAATTTGATGAAGGCCACATACTGTATAAATATAAATACAGAAATTAGATGATGCGTTATTGTTTGTTTATAAGCCAAATAAGGGAATATTTGATGTTATATACACTACAAGTCAAAAGCTTTAAAACCACCGCCATGTTTGTAGATCTTCTGTAAATCTAAGTAGTTAAAAGTGAAAAACCTTAAATGGCCAGAGCTGCCAAAGCTAAAAACGTTAAGTCACCAAAACAGACATTTTCAGATCTGAAATGAACAATTAAATGAAGGAGGTGTTTACTGGACATTTCCTTCCACTGCTGCAGAATAACCAAAGAAGGTAAAGACAAAGTTTAGGCCAACAAAACTGATCAATAATGTAAATTTCAGAGAGAAACAATTTTCAGGGAAGAGTAATGAATAAACAACTTCAGGTTATTCTGCAGCAGTAAAAACTTTATTGGATTGTGTTGCAGGATATCGGCAGAAACATCTACACACTGAAAGATGTGGTGGACGAGATCAGAGACAAACCCACCAGGAGGAGTCTGGCCTTCCTGCCATACCAGCTGAACTTCAAAGAACCACATCCTGAACACGTCAGACTGGGTAAAGTAAACTACACCTGAACACGTCTCAGACTGGTTAAAGTAAACTACACCTGAACACGTCTCAGACTGGGTAAAGTAAACTACACTTGAACACGTCAGACTGGGTAAAGTAAACTACACTTGAACACGTCAGACTGGGTAAAGTAAACTACACCTGAACACGTCAGACTGGGTAAAGTAAACTACACCTGAACACGTCAGACTGGGTAAAGTAAACTACACTTGAACACGTCAGACTGGGTAAAGTAAACTACACCTGAACACGTCTCAGACTGGGTAAAGTAAACTACACCTGAACACGTCAGACTGGGTAAAGTAAACTACACCTGAACACGTCAGACTGGGTAAAGTAAACTACACCTGAACACGTCTCAGACTGGGTAAAGTAAACTACACCTGAACACGTCTCAGACTGGGTAAAGTAAACTACACCTGAACACGTCTCAGACTGGGTAAAGTAAACTACACTTGAACACGTCAGACTGGGTAAAGTAAACTACACCTGAACACGTCTCAGACTGGGTAAAGTAAACTACACCTGAACACGTCAGACTGGGTAAAGTCTACTACACCTGAACACGTCAGACTGGGTAAAGTAAACTACACCTGAACACGTCAGACTGGGTAAAGTAAACTACACCTGAACACGTCTCAGACTGGGTAAAGTAAACTACACCTGAACACGTCTCAGACGGGGTAAAGTAAACTACACCTGAACACGTCTCAGACTGGGTAAAGTAAACTACACCTGAACACGTCTCAGACTGGTTAAAGTAAACTACACCTGAACACGTCAGACTGGGTAAAGTAAACTACACCTGAACACGTCTCAGACTGGGTAAAGTAAACTACACCTGAACACGTCTCAGACTGGGTAAAGTAAACTACACCTGAACACGTCTCAGACTGGGTAAAGTAAACTACACTTGAACACGTCTCAGACTGGGTAAAGTAAACTACACCTGAACACGTCTCAGACTGGGTAAAGTAAACTACACCTGAACACGTCTCAGACTGGGTAAAGTAAACTACACTTGAACACGTCTCAGACTGGGTAAAGTAAACTACACCTGAACACGTCTCAGACTGGGTAAAGTAAACTACACCTGAACACGTCTCAGACTGGGTAAAGTAAACTACACCTGAACACGTCTCAGACTGGGTAAAGTAAACTACACCTGAACACGTCTCAGACTGGGTAAAGTAAACTACACCTGAACACGTCTCAGACTGGGTAAAGTAAACTACACCTGAACACGTCTCAGACTGGGTAAAGTAAACTACACCTGAACACGTCTCAGACTGGGTAAAGTAAACTACACCTGAACACGTCTCAGACTGGGTAAAGTAAACTACACCTGAACACGTCTCAGACTGGGTAAAGTAAACTACACCTGAACACGTCTCAGACGGGGTAAAGTAAACTACACCTGAACACGTCTCAGACTGGGTAAAGTAAACTACACCTGAACACGTCTCAGACGGGGTAAAGTAAACTACACCTGAACACGTCTCAGACTGGGTAAAGTAAACTACACCTGAACACGTCTCAGACTGGTTAAAGTAAACTACACTTGAACACGTCTCAGACTGGTTAAAGTAAACTACACCTGAACACGTCTCAGACTGGTTAAAGTAAACTACACCTGAACACGTCTCAGACTGGTTAAAGTAAACTACACCTGAACACGTCTCAGACTGGTTAAAGTAAACTACACCTGAACACGTCTCAGACTGGTTAAAGTAAACTACACCTGAACACGTCTCAGACGGGGTAAAGTAAACTACACCTGAACACGTCTCAGACGGGGTAAAGTAAACTACACTTGAACACGTCTCAGACGGGGTAAAGTAAACTACACTTGAACACGTCTCAGACGGGGTAAAGTAAACTACACTTGAACACGTCTCAGACGGGGTAAAGTAAACTACACTTGAACACGTCTCACGCTGGGTCACCATTAACTACACCTAAATGTGGGTTGGCCTTACTTTTTGTGTTTCTTGTCTCAGTGACGGAGTTCTCCAAGAAGACCGGAGACTACCCGAGTCTGTCAGCCACCGACATCAAAGTCCTGGCTCTGACCTACCAGCTGGAGCTGGAGCACGTCGGCTCCCAGCACCTGAAGAAAGAGCCAGAAGTCAAGGTACAGATGCTGCTTTCACTGCTGTCAGAAACAACATGTAAATCAGAATGGTTTGAGGTAGTTTGAATATACACTAAGCAAAATTATAAACGCAACACTTTTGTTTTTGCCCCCATTCATCATGAGCTGAACTCAAAGATCTAAGACTTTCTCTCTGTACACAAAAGGCCTATTTCTCTCAAATATTGTCCATAAATCTGTAAAAATCTGTGTTAGTGAGCACTTCTCCTTTGCCCAGATAATCCATCCACCTCACAGGTGTGGCATATCAAGATGCTGATCAGACAGCATGGGGACTGCACAGGTGTGCCTTGGGCTGGCCACAATAAAAGGCCTTAGGCTGGCCACAATAAAAGGCCTTAGGCTGGCCACAATAAAAGGCCACCCCAAAATGTGCAGTTTCACTGTATTGGGGTCCGGAAACCAGTCAGTATCTGGTGTGACCACCATTTGCCTCACGCAGTGCAGCACATCTCATTTGCATAGAGGTGATCAGGTTGTTGATTGTGGCCTGTGGATTGTTGGTCCACTCCTCAACGGCTGGCTGTGCGAAGTTCCAGTCAGGTCCACACCCCAACGAGGACGACGAGCATGCAGATGAGCTTCCCTGAGACGGTTCCTGGCGGTTTGTGTAGAAATTCTTTGGTTATGCAAACCGATTGTTGCAGCAGCTGTCCGGGTGGCTTCGTCTCAGACCATCTTGGAGCTGAAGATGCTGGATGTGGAGGTCCTGGGCTGATGTGGTTACACGTGGTCTGCGGTTGTGAGGCCGGTTGGATGTACTGCCAAATTCTCTGAAACGCCTTTGGAGACGGCTTATGAACATTCAGTTCACGGGCAACAGCTCTGGTGGACAGTCAGCATGCCGATTGCACGCTCCCTCAAAACTTGTGACATCTGTGGCATCGTGCTGTGTGATGGAACTGCACGTTTTGGAGTTTGTGGGGGGAAAAACAAAAGTGTGTATGATTTTGTTCAGTGTATGATTTGCGTCTCTTTTGATGGAGCTTGGCAGGTTGACTCTTTATCTCAGGGGACTAAATGTTTGTGTTTCAGGTAAAAGTCCAGAGCACGAAGCGCCACCCAGAGACTCCGCTTAACGTCGCAGGATTTCACTTCCCCTCCAAGGTAAAACTCTCTTGATAGTTTGACTTATCCAGCTCTGTCGTTTCTGTAATAAGGACGATCATCTGCAGTCGCTATAAGTTGATTTAACCTGTCATTGAAGAGTAAAATCCAGTCTGTACCTTGATGCTCCTTCAGAAGCCCGTGGACAGTTTGAACGTCCGACAGACTCCAACAAAGACGGAGACGTCGTCAGACCCTGCAGCCAGTGACGAGTTTAACAGCTTCCACTTCTGGAGAGAGCCGCTGCCGTCCATCGACAGCGACTTGCTGGAGTTACTGGTGAGTCGACCAACTGGAAGCGCTCCGTGGTTTTGTTAGGGTTGAATATATTGTAAAATGCGCTACTTTGGCTCTGATGTAGCTAGTTCTCTGTCTGTAGTCTCACTCAATGTCCCGCCCACGGCACTATCTGATTGGTTACACTCACAAGTAATAGCCTATCAACACTTGCGAGACATTTGCTCCGGTGAGTAGTGGAGCTGTGTGTCGAAGGGAAGCCGGACTTTACTGCTGAAGCGGGAGTAAACATCACAATCTGATGATCTGTTTCTATAATGACGGCAGCCCACATGTCCCAACACACAGCTATGGTGTTTACGCCTTTTAAATCAGCCGCTCTCCCCGAATCTGAAGGATTTAAAAAAAACAGAATGTACAGAATGTAGCCTGTAGAAATGTTGAGGGAGGAAAAAAGTGCAGCAAAGTGCCTCAATATTACAGACTTTTCTTTTGTGCTGCTGTTACTTCTAGCTGAAGGCAGCAGTGATGATGTCTGCAGCAGGGGTGGGTACATCTAATGTAGGACTACTCTGAATGTCACTACATTTTTCCATTCATACCTTTTATAACTTAACCAGTCTGTAATCTGCATTTTGCTTCATTAACCGAAATGAGCTGTGATCCAGGCCGTGTGCGCGCAGTTACACAGTGACAGAGCTGGGCAGATGCAATCTTTAACAAGCCGGCAAGTGAAACACTTTCACTTTCCAAAAGCATCGTTAGTCTCTGCAGAACAAATGAAGACTACACACTGTAAGATCTATGTCAGATGCTCACTGCATTGATTGAGCTATATTAAAAGTGTCCTGTTGTTGACTTTGGACATCAGCCTGTTTCTTTTCTTTAATACACATCGGTTACTATTTGTTTTATAGCGATCATCTGACGGTGTCCATAAACAGACTGTCGCATTGAAACTAATCTTTCACTCAGCAGCTACCAGCTGTTATTTAGTTTAGAGAGAGAGAGAGAAAATATGGTGGATATAACAGTCCTGTTAGGTTTTACACAGCTTCCTCTATATGTAGGTTTACCTGCTTCAACAACGAGCTGCTCCGTGTTACTGCTACAATCATTCTTTGCGTTGTGAAGATTATTTAGATGCTTCAGGAATAATCAGATTTTATTGGCAGCCTGTGCTGCTGCATAATAAAAGATAACAAATGTTGGCTTGGCAGCAAAAGTGATATTTTAATGGGGTCTTATAAACACCTTCATGGAGATTTAAAAAGGAAAATAATTGCATAAATAGCTAAATTACAGATAATCAGCTTCTTCACTGCATTTGCAGGAATATTTTAATGTGCTACTTAAAAAAATAAACTCATCAAGTTGCCTAGTCTAGACATTTTAACTGTGATAGCCTATCTTAACCTTTCCTCATGTGGACACATAGGGGCTGTGATCCTGCACAACAAAACATGCAAGAATTAAATCCCCACACTACCATGGATAGTAGTGGTGCAACGGGTTGCAGAATCCGTGCTATGGATCCCGTCCACACGGTGCGGATTGATTCCAAAGTTTATGATGATTTATCATGTTTGACCTCTCAAAATATCCTTTATTCTGGAAATGTCAGAGAACCCAGTTAGATTCTGAACGTGCAGAACTTTCAACATGAGCAGAAAATCTGCTGAAACACTGAATTAATGATTTAATTTATTATTGATGAGGTAAAAAGGTGCCACATGCACATTTAAAGAGGTACCTCAGTCAGTCACGTCTGCGTGTGTTGATTCAGCAGTGATGATATAAAAGTTGATCTACAGGAGAAACATATCTGAAAGCTGAGAGCTGCTCTGCATTATATTCTGTTACAGTTTTAGATTTTAAATTGATTTATTATACTTTATTAAACCAGAAAAACTCTTTTTCCAAGAGTGTCCTGGCCGAGGCAGGCAGTAGTACAATTGCACATTTAAGATGGAAATAAATAATCAGTTGCAAGGTCATAAAATATCAAAATGTTCTTAAATATTCACCACAAGGACGATCAAACGAGTAATCATAACATCTGAAGGCAGAATTGCCAGCCTTCAAGTCCTTTAAAAGCAACCAGTGAAAACAGCTTGAGTCAATTATTATGTGAAGATATGAAGTTTTAAGGGCTGGGCTAAGCGCCCAATGTTTCAAGATCCTAAAAACGCCCCTGACACAGAGTCAGGCTTTTCACTGCATCGCAACAAACATGGTGGTTAAGCTTTTCTGAAATTAAAACCAGGGACATTTTTGGTTTGTTGGCCAGTATGTTATTAAAAAATATAATGTTATTATACATGAAATAAAAAGGGGGACAATTACCGTTTTATAATCTGTCAAAAATAACTTTGAGGCAGAAACTACCATTCAGTCAATAAGTAGAGGCTTCACTTTCTGGCAAGTAGAATACTGCATGTTTGTGTGTTTGGCCATTTGAAGGTATTTTAAGAGGTAAAAAGTACTAGGTGAGTTATAATCTGTCAAATATAACTAACCCTCATGAATATAATCAAGTCATTTCACTTTCTGGCAAGTAGAATACTGCATGTTTGTGTGTGTTTGGCCATTTGAAGGTATTTTAAGAGGTAAAAAGTACTAGGTGAGTTATAATCTGTCAAATATAACTAACCCTCATGAATATAATCAAGTCATTTCACTTTCTGGCAAGTAGAATAATGCATTACATAGACTGTATTGGCCATTTAAATTTACTTCAACAGGTAAAAAGATCAAAAGGTCATAAGGATAACTGCAAATTTATTTTAAATATAACGCAACAGTAACTCATGTTAATTATAGGCTACAGTCTGTTTTCTAAATATAAACAAGGCTGCACATCCATGATGCGAATCTCCTGTTGCACCAAAGGCACTCTATTGGACTGAGATCTGGTGAGTCATTGTCATGTTCAAGAAGCCAGTTTGAGATGGTTTGAGCTTTGTGACATGGTGCTTATTATCCTGCTGGAAGTAGAAAACGGTACACTGTGGTCATAAAGTGCTGGACATGGTCAGCAACAATATCCAGGTAGGCTGTCGTGTGTAAACGATGCTCGGTTGGTACTGAGGGGCCCAAAGTGTTCACTGAACAGTTATCGGGACATTGACCGGACGGCATTTGCATGACTAGATTTATCAGCTATAGGAATATGAATCGACTAACGTTAGGCTATGAAGAAATACAGAAGCCGTTGCCATGGTTACTATTTATTGACCGCCTTCCGCCTTCAAGAGAAGTGTGAAAAGGCCTTAACACCACCAGCAGCCTGAACCGTCGACACGAGGCAGGATGGATCCATGCTTTCATGTTGTTTACGCCACATTCTGACCCGACCACCTGGAGGTCGCAGCTGAAATGGAGACTCATCAGACCAGGCAACGTTTTTCCAATCTTCTGTTGTCCAGTTTTGTAGTTTCCTGTTCTCAGCTGACAGGAGTGGCCCCCGCTGTGGTCTTCTGCTGCTGTAGCCCGTCTGCTTCGAGGTTGGACGTGTTGTGTTCAGAGATGGTATTCTGCATGCCTTGGTTGTAACGAGTGGTTATTTGAGTTACTGTTGCCTTCCTGTCATCTTGAACCAGTCTGACATCAACAAGGCGTTTCCAGCAGCTCACTGGATGTTTCCTCTTTTTCGGAGCGTTCTCTGTAAACCCTGGAGATGGTTCTGCGTGAAAATCCCAGTAGTCACTTAAATCCCCTTTCTGATGCTCAGTTTGACCTTCAGCACGTTGTCTTGACCACGTCTACGTGCCTAAATGCATTGAGTTGCTGCCATGTGATTGGCTGATTAGCTATTTGTGTGAACAACATGTGTACCTATTAAAGTGGCCGGTGAATGTTTACATTTTACTTGTGCGTTGGTTTCTGCCTCCACCTTTTACAGCCACTGGATTGGTCGCTAGTAAAATTGACTTAAAAGCTCTTGCTCTTCAGGATCCGGTGGAGGTTCTGAATTTGAGGAACAAACAGAAACCGACGACCACCTGCCAGCCGTCTTCTAGCAGTGACGAGTTTGACAGCTTTCACTTCTGGAGAGATCCGCTGCCGTCTATTGACAGCGACCTGCTGGAGTTACTGGTGAGTTTAAGAAAGAGTCAGTTTCCGCATGGATCAGGACACAAACACGACTCTGGTGAGATCCTGCTGGTCTGCGTCTGCTGAAGGTGGAAGCGGCAGGTTTACAGCACGTTAATGTCCTGATGCAGCTTTAAACTGTAGAGAAACTGTGGGTCTGGGCCCTGATTGGCTGACAGTAGCAGCGCCTGACTGTTGACCTCTTCTTGTTCGCAGAAAGAGAACGGCGTCTCGCCATCAGAGAGCCGGCTGGACGCAGCACGGCAGACAGAGGAACCAGAGGACCAATCAGACGAGGAGGAGGAGGAGGATGACGATGACGGAGGTGGTTGGATCACTCCCAGTAACATCAAACAGGTGAAGATGGAGTCGGCTGATTGGACGGCTCCTGCTGATGTCATCGTCGGGTGTCTGACCACCGACTTCGCCATGCAGGTAACAAACCTGTCGGTGATGTCACCACTAAAGTTATCCTGTTAACGTTATTTAATTTAAGATGGAGTATATATTTATATTTTTTACCATTAATCATTGAGTCTATAAAATGTCATAAAAAGGTGAAATGCTTCCCAGAGTGCCGTCTGTTTGACGGTTATTAGAATACTTGCAGGTATTCTGCCAATCATTTCAGCTCTTTTCTCTGATCTTTCCAGAACGTCCTGATTCAGATCGGACTTCACGTTCTCTCTGTTAACGGGATGGTGATCAAACAGGCGAGGAACTACATCCTGAGGTGTCACGCCTGCTTTAAGTGAGTACATGTGAAATTCAAAGAGAAACTTAAATAATGAAAAGTGAAATATAAACAGAAGAATTGAGATTTTGCTATTGAAGTGAAACTGAGTGAAATAAAATAGACGCTGTTACATGTTGATCAGCATTCAAAGCTGCGTGTTTTTAATTTCAGGACGACGAGCAACATGAACAAAGTGTTCTGTCCTCACTGTGGAAACAAGACGCTGAAGAAGCTGGCGGTGACGCTCAGCGAGGACGGCAGCGTGCAGATGCATTTCTCCAAAAACCCCAAAGTGCTGAACCCGAGAGGGCTGAGGGTGAGACATGCACACACACTCATGTACACTCAGAGTATTTACACCCAGGACATGTGTAGTCAGGAGCGCTCTGTGTGGCGTGTTTCGGCCTTATTGACCCCCTCTGTGTGGCGTGTTTCGGCCTTATTGACCCCCTCTGTGTGGCGTGTTTCGTCCTTATTGACCCCCTCTGTGTGGCGTGTTTCAGCCTTATTGACCCCTCTGTGTGGTGTTTTTCGGCCTTATTGACCCCTCTGTGTGGTGTTTTTCGGCCTTATTGACCCCTCTGTGTGGCGTGTTTCGGCCTTATTGACCCCTCTGTGTGGTGTTTTTCGGCCTTATTGACCCCCTGTGTTTCGGCCTTATTGACCCCCTGTGTTTCGGCCTTATTGACCCCGCCCACCCGTGTGGCGTGTTTCGGCCTTATTGACCCCGCCCACCCGTGTGGTGTTTTTCGGCCTTATTGACCCCCTCTGTGTGGCGTGTTTCGGCCTTATTGACACCCCCCCCCCCCCCCCCCCCCCCCCGCCGTGTGGTGTTTTTCGGCCTTATTGACCCCTGTGTTTTGGCCTCATTGAACCCTCTGTGGGGCGTGTTTCAGCCTTATTGACCCCCCCCCCCCGTGTGGTGTGTTTCGGCCTTATTGACCCCCCCCCCCACCCCACCCCCCCCGTGTGGTTTTTTTCGGCCTTATTGACCCCTGTGTTTTGGCCTCATTGACCCCTCTGTGTGGCGTGTTTCGGCCTTATTGACCCTTCTGTGTGGCGTGTTTCAGCCTTATTGACCCCCCCCCCCGTGTGGTGTTTTTCGGCCTTATTGACCCCCCCCCCGTGTGGTGTTTTTCGGCCTTATTGACCCCTGTGTTTTCGCCTCTTTCACCCCTCTGTGGGGCGTGTTTCAGCCTTATTGACCCCCCCCCCCGTGTGGCGTGTTTCGGCCTTATTGACCCCCTCTGTGGGGCGTGTTTCAGCCTTATTGACCCCCCCCCCCGTGTGGCGTGTTTCGGCCTTATTGACCCCCTCTGTGGGGCGTGTTTCAGCCTTATTGACCCCTCTGTGTGGTGTGTTTCGGCCTTATTGACCCCTCTGTGGGGCGTGTTTCGGCCTTATTGACCCCCCCCGTGTAGTGTTTTTCGGCCTTATTGACCCCTCTGTGGGGCGTGTTTCGGCCTTATTGACCCCCCCGTGTGGTGTTTTTCGGCCTTATTGACCCCTGTGTTTTGGCCTCATTGACCCCTCTGTGTGGCGTGTTTCGGCCTTATTGACCCCTCTGTGTGGCGTGTTTCGGCCTTATTGACCCCTCTGTGTGGCGTGTTTCGGCCTCATTGACCCCTCTGTGGGGCGTGTTTCGGCCTTATTGACCCCTGTGTTTCGGCCTTATTGACCCCTCTGTGTGGCGTGTTTCGGCCTCATTGACCCCTCTGTGGGGCGTGTTTCGGCCTCATTGACCCCTCTGTGTTGTGTTTCGGCCTCATTGACCCCTGTGTTTTGGCCTCATTGACCCCTCTGTGTTGTGTTTCGGCCTTATTGACCCTTCTGTGTGGCGTGTTTCGGCCTTATTGACCCCCCCCCCCGTGGTGTTTTTTGGCCTTATTGACCCCTCTGTGTGGCATGTTTCAGCCTTATTGACCCCTCTGTGTGGCGTGTTTCGGCCTTATTGACCCCCCCCCCCCCCGTGTGGCGTGTTTCGGCCTTATTGACCCCCTCTGTGTGGCGTGTTTCAGCCTTATTGACCCCCTCTGTGTGGCGTGTTTCAGCCTTATTGACCCCTCTGTGGGGCGTGTTTCAGCCTTATTGACCCCCTCTGTGTGGCGTGTTTCAGCCTTATTGACCCCCTCTGTGTGGTGTGTTTCAGCCTTATTGACCCCCTCTGTGTGGTGTGTTTCGGCCTTATTGACCCCCCCTGTGTGGTGTTTTTTCGGCCTTATTGACCCCTCTGTGTTGTGTTTCGGCCTTATTGACCCCTCTGTGTTGTGTTTCGGCCTCATTGACCCCTCTGTGTGGCGTGTTTCGGCCTTATTGACCCCCCCCCGTGTGGTGTTTTTCGGCCTCATTGACCCCTCTGTGGGGCATGTTTCGGCCTCATTGACCCCTCTGTGTGGCGTGTTTCGGCCTCATTGACCCCTCTGTGGGGCGTGTTTCGGCCTCATTGACCCCTCTGTGGGGCGTGTTTCGGCCTCATTGACCCCTCTGTGGGGCGTGTTTCGGCCTTATTGACCCCCCCCGTGTGGCGTGTTTCGGCCTTATTGACCCCTGTGTTTCGGCCTCATTGACCCTTCTGTGTGGCGTGTTTCGGCCTTATTGACCCCCCCCCCCCGTGGTGTTTTTTGGCCTTATTGACCCCTCTGTGTGGCATGTTTCAGCCTTATTGACCCCTCTGTGTGGCATGTTTCAGCCTTATTGACCCCTCTGTGTGGTGTTTTTCGGCCTTATTGACCCCCTGTGTTTCGGCCTTATTGACCCCCTCTGTGTGGCGTGTTTCGGCCTTATTGACCCCCTCTGTGTGGTGTTTTTCGGCCTTATTGACCCCTGTGTTTTGGCCTCATTGACCCTTCTGTGTGGTGTGTTTCGGCCTCATTGACCCCTCTGTGGGGCGTGTTTCAGCCTTATTGACCCCCCCCCCCCCCCCCCCCTGTGTGGTGTTTTTCGGCCTTATTGACCCCCCCCCGTGTGGTGTTTTTCGGCCTTATTGACCCCCCCCGTGTGGTGTTTTTTGGCCTTATTGACCCCCCCCCGTGTGGTGTTTTTCGGCCTTATTGACCCCTGTGTTTCGGCCTCATTGACCCCTCTGTGTGGCGTGTTTCGGCCTTATTGACCCCTCTGTGTGGCGTGTTTCAGCCTTATTGACCCCCCCTGTGTGGTGTTTTTCGGCCTTATTGACCCCCCCTGTGTGGTGTTTTTCATCATTATTGACCCCTGTGTTTAGGCCTCATTGACCCCTCTGTGTGGTGTGTTTCGGCCTCATTGACCCCTCTGTGGGGCATGTTTCAGCCTTATTGACCCCTGTGTTTCGGCCTTATTGACCCCCTCTGTGTGGCGTGTTTCAGCCTTATTGACCCCCTCTGTGTGGCGTGTTTCGGCCTTATTGACCCCCTCTGTGTGGCGTGTTTCAGCCTTATTGACCCCTGTGTTCCGGCCTTATTGACCCTTCTGTGTGGTGTGTTTCGGCCTCATTGACCCCTCTGTGGGGCGTGTTTCAGCCTTATTGACCCCTGTGTTTCGGCCTTATTGACCCCTCTGTGTGGCGTGTTTCGGCCTCATTGACCCCTCTGTGTGGCGTGTTTCGGCCTCATTGACCCCTCTGTGTGGCGTGTTTCGGCCTCATTGACCCCTCTGTGGGGCGTGTTTCGGCCTTATTGACCCCTGTGTTTCGGCCTTATTGACCCCTCTGTGTGGCGTGTTTCGGCCTCATTGACCCCTCTGTGTGGCGTGTTTCGGCCTCATTGACCCCTCTGTGTGGCGTGTTTCGGCCTCATTGACCCCTCTGTGTGGCGTGTTTCGGCCTCATTGACCCCTCTGTGGGGCGTGTTTCGGCCTTATTGACCCCTGTGTTTCGGCCTTATTGACCCCTCTGTGTGGCGTGTTTCGGCCTTATTGACCCCCCCCCGTGTGATGTTTTTCGGCCTCATTGACCCCTCTGTGTGGCGTGTTTCGGCCTCATTGACCCCTCTGTGTGGTGTGTTTCGGCCTCATTGACCCCTGTGTGTGGTGTGTTTCGGCCTTATTGACCCTCTCTGTGTGGTGTGTTTTGGCCTCATTGACCCCTCTGTGTGGTGTTTTTCGGCCTTATTGACCCTCTCTGTGTGGTGTTTTTCAGCCTTATTGACCCTCTCTGTGTGGTGTTTTTCGGCCTTATTGACCCTCTCTGTGTGGTGTGTTTCGGCCTTATTGACCCTCTCTGTGTGGTGTTTTCAGCCTTATTGACCCTCTCTGTGTGGTGTTTTTCAGCCTTATTGACCCTCTCTGTGTGGTGTTTTTCGGCCTTATTGACCCCCTCTGTGTGGTGTTTTTTGGCCTTATTGACCCCCTCTGTGTGGTGTTTTTTGGCCTTATTGACCCCCTCTGTGTGGTGTGTTTCAGCACTCGCTGCCTCTGCCTCAGGGAGGGAAACACGGCAACAACCCCCAGCTGGTGGAGGACCAGCGTGCCCCCCAGCAGAGACTCTCCCGCAAAGCTCGTCAGAAGACCGACGTCTTCAACCCGGACTACGTGGCCGGAGCGTCACCTTTTTGCGAGAATGACATCTACAGTCGAGCGGCCAACCTGCAGATCAGAGACGGCCAGAGTGGGGGTGGAAGGAGACGAGCCAACCCCAACGCCACTCACAAGAAGTTTGTCAAGAAGAAGTGAGAGCTTTTGGATTTGGACACATAAAAACGCATCATCTGAGTTATTTGACATTAAATTTAAAGGACCTTACAGAGTGTAGTCTGCTTTCCAAACTCTAGGTCAAACATGCAGAAACAGTCCTTAAAATACAAAACCAGCATTTTCTCCCTCAAAAGATTTTCAACAGACGAGACTTTGTTAAATCAGCTTTGAATGTTGACGTATCAATATAATGTATCTATATTCTTCCCAAATAAATGTTAAAATCCACTTCAGCTGTTGCAGATTGTCTTTTTATTGAATCACTTTATTTAAATATATTACCCCTCTTACATAAACACATTTGATTCTCAGATTATCCTTCAATCTAGATCTTAAAAAAAGAAAATAGGAGTTTTTTTGCAGTTGTTTTTCCTCTTCGTGTAACTAGGCTAGCAGTTCCCCCCTGCTTGCAGTCTTTGTGCTAAGCTAGGCTAAACACACCCTGGAGCTCTTTGGTCTGAACACAGTCAGTCTTTTTAAAGCGCTGTTTCTTTGACTGGAATGTGAACACTTGTTTGGGACTACAACCTGCATCAACGAAGGCACTTGAAAAGGTGAGTGAGAGAAAATATCTTGCTTTACCTCACCTGCGTTAATCACTGTAGTGTAAAATGGAAATAAACAGACTTGAAATCACGATTAAACTGAAATGCTTCCTGTGTAGACGAACACACAGGTGATCTCCTGCTGCTGTGGTTTGATCCATTTCTGTTGATTTTGCCTCAGACAACAGTGACCGTCCTAAACCTTGAATTAAGGGTCGGAGCAGCGAAGGAGAGGAATTTCAATTTATTATTTAAATGTCCACAAAATAAGACGCATCCATCACCAGATCCCAGAGTCACCATCAACTTATTACTCCAAAGAGAAGTCTTCGTCCTGTAGCGACTCTTCGTCTCGTTCCTCAGACTTCAGCTCCGTCAGTTCAGCGCTCGGCTCAGAGTCTATAAGGCCGGACCGGGTTGACGCCGGGTCTGGACGTCCTGCCTCCACGGTGACGTCAGGATCCGATACTGGTTCTTTGAGTTGTGTCTCAAATGTCAGGCTGCCCAGTTCGCTGGCGATGTCGACATCTGGTACTGGCTGTAGCACCTCCCTTGGTGGAAGCACAAACTGCAGAGGCTCGAGGACCGCGGGAGGTCGATGCAGCCCAAACTGCCGTACCTGTGCAGCTGAGTCGGAGGAACACCTGCAGAACAACAGAACAGGTTCAAGCACGCCTTTATGTTTAACTCTGTGGCCGACCAGTGTTGGGACGTAAAGAACATACAGATGATGATTTCTTCCTACCAGCTGTGGGGCTAAAACTAATTTGATGAATACATTTTCTCTTTTCTCATCCTGTGGTACTACAAAGGTTCTGGGTCACTATACTCATTAGTAGGTCTGAACCATTAATTGCATTTGCGATTATGGTCACATGACACACGGAAGTAAAGCCGTCTGCAGAGGGAGCATCAACTTGGTTATGCTGCACCGTGAGTTGTTGTACAATGTCTGCAGGATTGACAGAAGCTTTAGTGTCAAACAGGGAATAAAATTAGTACCCACCACCCGTGGGTAAAATGCAAAACAGAAAGACACCAGTCAGGTCAGGGGAATATCTGTGAAACGGCGTTTCAAACCTAACTCGCCAGTCTGAAAGAGACCCAGTCTGTCCCGAGTTACAGTTCGCTGCTAACCAGCACCATCGGACGACTACGGGGGGACTCCGGTGTTGTCGGAGAGTTACAGAGCTTGTCTATTAGACGTGAGAAGCGTCACTTGGTTTTCTTCCGTTGGCCAACTTCTGAATTAAACCTCAAACTTGAGGTTTTTTCTTGCTGGGATCCAGAAAAGAGGTTTTTGTTGAGATATGGACTCGTGGAGATTAAAACGAGAAGGACTCATTAATTTGAGGTAGAATTGTGGGTTTTGTAATGAGCACTTACTATAATGTTATAATACTCTGTTGAACTTGTTTATCTTCTGGTCTGTAGTTATTCCTACCTGTTAATATTATATTTAATAACGTGACTTGACTCAAATTATCTTGCTCTGAAATTATTATAATTTGATACTACTTCTCCACCATTGCTCATAATTCAACCCATTTTATCATGGCTGACTTATACAGTAATAAAACCGGATCGATCGTGCATCTTTAATTGAAATACCTGGTTGTTAAGTAAAGTGGAGTAATTGTCATGTACTGAAAGACACGGGTCCTTTTTGTTCATGCAATCATGCATGTAATGTTTTTGTGTAAATATATCGAACATTGAATGACAACATTATTACATTAAATGGTGCCTAAATTAGCTGAATTTTATTCCCTTATGTCAATTATTAAAAAATAATTGCATATTGTTTAAAAAAAATATCACAATTAGATGAGTTTCCAAAATCGTTCAGTCCTACTCATTAGGATTTATGCTCTGGATGGAGCAGGAAAATCTACTAATGTCACAGCAAACTGCTGCCGTGTTTCGTAAAACATCTTCAGTTAGAGTTCAGAGAAACTCCTGAAAGTAATGTTTAAGGCTCCTCAGCTTCTGGTCTGATGGAGGTCCAGAAGACCCCTGAGTCTGCAGATCATACGACTTATCAGGTCACGTTTTTGAAAGAATAGAACGATAGACCTGTAATATGTAGTTTTATAAAGACTCAATTAGCTCAATGACAAATTGCACACAGCTCTTCTCTAAAACTACAAGTTCACACTTGTTACGAGATCCAATACTTGGGACAACATGACTCGTTTTTCTAGCTAACGGAGATCCAACAAGTGGAAGACGGTGACAAATGCAGCTGCGTCACAACGCCATCGTGTATGGAAGCCGGGGTGAAGTTAGTTTAATATTTAACATTGGTCGGTTTTCGCAGCCATTTCTTTGTCAAATCCTGGATTTCTCCCAGTTGTGTCAGGCTGCAGCGTATCCCCCCCCCCGCCCCCAATAAACATGGAAGTTTTCATTTCTGCCGTATGTGCCGGGTGAGCAATTCTCTGAATATGCGCCATCTTTGGGTTTGGCCTCCGTCTAATAATATACCCACGGAACAGACCGAGGTCTCGGTCTTTAGGTTCTGCTGTCAGCTGTACTGAGCACCAGAGGGGTCCAGAGGATAATCTGGATTTAGATTATTGAGCTAAAAGAAGGAATCTGTACAGACATCTGCTGATCAGAAAGTTCACTATAAATATAAACAGACTGTCTCCCTCTGATTAAAACTGTGTTTTGATGTGATATTAATGTGGGATAAGAGACTGAAGAACTGAAAATATTATCCGAACATGTTGCTTTATGAGACCCTCTAAATCAAACTGGACCTCGGCCTGAGGTTTAAGTTGAGGTCTGGATTCTGTTTGTGTGTGGCTCCAGATCGCTGTAACCATTAGTGTTTTGAGGAAAATAAAGAACAGAGAGAGAAACAACCAGGATCCTCACCCAGAATGAGAGCGAGCTGAGCCGGAGGAAACAGGACCTGCAGACAGCGGTTGAGGAACGGCAGCAGGTCGTCAGCGTACGAACAGCAGAACTGAAGGAACAGCTCCTTCTCCCTGCTGCTGAAGGCCGACTCCTCCGCCCGGTGGAACACCAGAATCTGACGGGTCACCTGACAGGAAACAAGAGAGGCGACACTCAACACACCGGTACAGATATGCCTGGTCACCTGACAGGAACTTGTTTACTTCCTATCTCACCATCTTGAGGCCGTCTTCGAGACACGTGGTGACGTCACGAGCCAGTCCGACGGGGCAGCAGAGTCTGAGGTCGTTGAAGGCGGTCAGGATGTTGTTGAGGAACCAGGCCAGCGGCTGGAAGTCCAGCAGCATCATCGGGGGCTGCAGGGTGCCGGGCTGGGTGCCGGGGGCCACGGGGGGGATGGTCGCTCCCAGCACCGAGGGCAGGGAGGTGAGCATGTACAGGTTCATGTCCTCCTGGAACTTCTCCACCGCCTCCTGCACGGCTTTGCGGAACGTCTCCGCCGCCACGCGCTGGAACATGGGCGCCAGCTGCCCGCGGAAGTCCGCCCCAACCCTGCTGAAGGACAGGCCAAAGTACATGCACTGACCCAGCAGGGAGTCCAGACGGCCCCCCACGCCCCGCTGCAGGTCCCTGTCTAAAGTCTCCAGGAACTCAGACACCTTATGCACCACCCAGCCGTGGAAAATGGCGCCCTCGTTCACTGCGATCTGTCCGCTGGCGGGGAGCACCAGCGGGTCCTCGTCAGAGAAGATGGCTCTGTACTGGGTGATGATGTCGAAGAGGTGGACTCTGCAGGCCTCGATGGTTTTGGTAATGTGGAAGTAGGGGTCGTCTTCAGGGATGGCGGCGAGGATGGAGTGCAGCCAGGTGCCGCGCGCCTGCAGGAACTTTACCCGCAGCTCCGCCTCCGTGAACACGTCCATCCTCCGCAGGTAGCCAATCACGCGCAGGCAGACAGGAAGCTGCGAGTTGCTGCGCAGTTGCTGCAGCAGCTGGTTGAGCATCAGCTGAGTCGACTGACGCACTTCACGCACGATACTCTGAGGATACAAGACGTCTCAGATCAGCTGTGATTGGTCGATTAATCAGTGCGTCAACATAAATTTTATCTGCAACTGTTGATAATCGATTGATAATTTTATTTTTCAAGTTAAAACCGTAAAAACATTCTCTGGTGGAAGCTTTTCCAACGTCTGAGTAAACTGAATCTTTGGGTTTTGGAGTGTTGGTTGAACAAAACTAAATGTCTGACGACGTCAAGCAGCAACAAGAGCTTCGGATCTTTTTTTTTCCTTCTACGGCTGCAACTGATAATTATTTTCATCATTTTATTTATATAATTCTTTATGTCTATTAATTACTGAGTTCATAAAATGCTCAGGGTGACGTCTTCAAAATTCCAAAACTCAAAGATGTTCAGTTTCCATGCAGATGACACTCTCTTAATTTTCTGTCACCTCTAAGTTTTCATCTTTATAACAACACTTTCTCAGGTGGACCTGGACTCACCTGGATGACTAGGAGCGAGGAGTGCTTCCTCTCCAGCCTCTTGACGTACGCCGCCAGCTCCAGAGCCTCCTCGTAGTAGCCATTGCGGACGCAGGTGTCCATGAGCTGAGGGATCTCCAGGATCTCCAGGATCTCGGTGTGACGGTTCAGCGTGAGGCTGTTCATCCGGCGACTGACCCCGATCTCCTCCGCCTCCTTCATGAACCCCCTGAACACAAACACCTATAGTTTCACACTCAAAGCACATTCGACTTATTCTGGGACCAGATTGGGAATCTCAGTCTTGGCGTGTTTTGCGTCCATGGATGGATTACCGAACGGGCCTACCGGGCACAGAAACGAGGGGCCTGAGGGGGTTAAGGGGCCCCTGGTCTAGAGCTTCTATTTGAAGTTGACTGTCACAGAGATAGGTGTCATTTACACTGGGGACCCTTGAGACACGGCCGTCACTTTTGAAAGCATAAATAGTTAAAAGTGTTCTGGAAAAAAAACAACAAAAAAAATGTAAACTAAGAAATGAAAAGCTAAAAAAACAAAAACAAGATACTTATTATAAATTGACTTGATGACTTGTGCACTGATCAGTAACTTCTTCCTGACACAGTTTCTTTTTGGCTTTCCGGAGGGGAAGACTAACTCATGACACACCAGGGATGATAGTTGATCTACAGGAGAGACAGATCTGAAAGCAGCACAGAATGGCCGAGAGCTGCACTGACTTAAGAGTTTGAATTGTTACCTGCGGCCTAAATTTTGTGTTTCCCTTTACAGAAATAAAAACATTTTCACCAAAAATTGGTGCAGATTGCTGAAAATTAGGTGTTTAATGCTGAAAATTTTCTATGAGAGGACCCCCAGCACTGAATAGAGTGTTAAACTATCTTCTCGTCTCGTTCTCATGAATCCAATATCGTGGATCGTCACGTCTCGTGAGTTTAGTGTCGTCACACCTCTAATCTGAGCCCTGGTGTCCCCTCCACCTCGGTCACAGAGGTAACGTCCTGATCACAGTTCTGTGCTCCTGTTTAACTTGTAACATGGCAAACTAATTCATGGTTCCCAGATACTCAGTGGGCCCCTGGAAACATTTAACTGGGTCCCCGCTGTCTCAAGATATTCAGTTTAGACAAAGACAAAAAAAGAAGTATGGGAACAAGATCAACTGGACCAGGTACCACGGCGTGGTGATCGCTCAGAGGAGAGGAAAGAGAGCCGGGACAGGAGCCATGTTGGTCCACCTTGGACTTAAGGCTGCTCCTAAAGGTCCAGTCTGGACAAAATGGGACTCATGTTGGCCAAACAACTGAAGTCAGAGACTGTTGAGCCGACATCTTTAGAGAGACCTGATCACGCTCGGCAGGTGGTCCATGTTCAGAGCTGTCAGAGCAAGACTCCGGCGAGATGAGAGGAAGTGGACTTTAACTTAAAGGTGAAACCAGACTATCGTCTTGTTGCTGCGGTTTCCATTCTCCAAGATGCAAATTTAAAACAAATGCACTGCAGAATGTGAGGGGGCCTCAAAATCAGGCAGTCATGCAGGTGTTGCTTTAATGCCCCATTAATTTATTTCAGTTCAGTAATAAAACAGATCTGCAAAAACACTAATAACCAACTATTGAACCTGGAGCTCTTTGCCAGGTAGTTTCCCCCTTAAATCTAAAAGTTACCTTAAAAAGCCTTCATGAAAGAATAAAGTCCAAATGAGACAATAATGTCTCTTTAATCTCGAAATTTTAACTTTATTCTCGAAAAGCAAGTAAACAAAATCTTTTATCCTCCTATTTTTTTTTCCTTATGTGGTATATTCTGAATAAATCCATGAAAAAACAATAACATTTTGATAAACTGTTCTGTACACGATGTCTGGTTATTATCACAATAAACCCACAGATTAAATGTATCTGGCGCTCATCAACAATAATTAATGTTTACAATTAAACAATTTAACTGTCGCCTTATTGAACCTGTTCACCAGCAGCACCCACCTGCATCTCTCCCCGAAGCCGGGCAGCTTGTCCAGCAGCCGGGACACGCTGCCCTCCACCCGGCCGAAGTCCCGGTAGATGTGCTCGGTGCAGTCTGCGGTCCGGATGAAGGTCTGGTAGTTGGAGAAGGCCAGTTCCCGGGTCTGCTGCAGGATCTGGGCCCGCTCCTCCGCCAGACGCTCCGGCTCCCGGACCAGCTTGTCCAGCCCGAAGGAGCTCAGCTCGGACAGGTAGGCCGCGAAGTCCGGGTTGTCCCTCCTGCTGTCCGGGAAGCTGTCCTTAAAGATCGACGCCAGGATGCTCTCGTCCTCCACGTCCACCGCCGCCATGTTGGATCCGGTTCTGAATAACAGCGGTTTATCAGAGAAACGCGTTAACTCATTAAACCGGGTTGTAACGTCACGGTGCGTCAGAAAGTTAGTTCTCCAGAGGCGGTGTTGACAAACCACGTCCGGGTTCTTCTCCTCCTCCTTCCTCCTGTGCGTCCACCCGCAGCGGTACCGCCCCCTGCTGTCAAACACGTCACAGGGTTTCCTGTAAACATTGAACAGAACATGGTCAGAAAATATAACAGAATAATAAGGAACGTGTGGCCAGTATGTCGCGTGAGGTTCTGGTCCTGATGGCCCGCAGCCTCAGAAGGGAGTGAGAGTCCTGGAGGGGTACTGGTCCTAGAGGGTTCAGGTCCTGGAGCAGTTCAGGTCCTGGAGCGATACTGGTCCTGGAGGGGTACTGGTCCTGGAGGGGTACAGGTCCTGGTAGGTTACAGGTCCTGGAGGGGTACTGGTCCTAGAGGGTTCAGGTCCTGGAGCAGTTCAGGTCCTGGAGCGATACTGGTCCTGGAGGGGTACTGGTCCTGGAGGGGTACTGGTCCTAGAGGGTTCAGGTCCTGGAGCAGTTCAGGTCCTGGAGCGATACTGGTCCTGGAGGGGTACTGGTCCTGGAGGCGTACAGGTCCTGGAGGCGTACAGGTCCTGGAGGGGTACTGGTCCTAGAGGGTTCAGGTCCTGGAGCAGTTCAGGTCCTGGAGCGATACTGGTCCTGGAGGGGTACTGGTCCTGGAGGCGTACAGGTCCAGAAGAGATGGAAGATTGCGGCCGATCACCTTCTCTGCAGAGCGTCTGAGACGCTGCAGCCTGCCGCTGTCCCTGCAGTAGCAGCAGGAACCAGATGGTGATGGAGGAGGTGAGGATGGGGACTCAGTGATGGCGGTGTAGAAGTGCACCATCATGGTCTTTGCCCACTTGAGGTCCTGGAAGCTGAAAAAGTCCACAGTGGCGACCGTGGAGTCACGCAGGATGATGGGGGAGGGTGGGGCCGGACTCTTTCTAAAATCCACAGTCTTCAGAGCGTTGAGCTCCAGGTGGTTCTGGCTGCACCAGGTCACCAGACGCTCAGTCTCATCCCCACCGGAGATGAGCCCAAATAATTTGGGGCAATAAAAACAATAATTTTATAAAAATATTTTTTAAATGCAATTTAAAAAAGCTGCTTTTATGTTAACTTTAAGCTTGTAAAGTATTTATTTTTATTATTTGAATAAAATGGGAGAAAAGGCTTCCAAAAAAGTAGTCGTCAATAAAGTTATTTCAAACAGTAAGTTTATGGCGTCAGCGGAAACATCCATCCATCGTCAACCGTAATTCAAAAACAGCTTCTATTTATGTTTGTTCAGCTTTGTTAAGTAATATGTGTGTAAATATGAGGAAAGTTGGGGGCAAAAATAGATAATGACTAATAAACTACCTTGATTGTTGTTTTAAATTTGTTTCAAACGGAAAAGTAAAAAAAAAAAGAAAAAGCTTTTATTGTTGTTTACTTTCAGCTTATAAGGTTTATTAATGATGTTTGGTCTAAAAAAAATATTTGTTAATAAAGTTGTTTCAAACTGTAAATATATGACGTGAGCGGAAGTGACGGGTCTCAGTTGCTAAGCTGCAGCTGAGGAGCAACCGGACTGTCAACAAGTTGCCAGCAGCGGCGGAGACACCGGAGACACCGGAGACACCGACCAGCTGCCGGTTTAACGTTCACACTTTAACCCGCTCGGTCAGATGCTTCGCGGCGGACAGACGAAGGTAAACCGTGAACGCGTTTCTACCGGAAACAACAACAACAACAACAACTAGCTTTAATTAGCTAAGGCTAACCCATGCTAAGCGGCTAACGTTAGCTAGTTCACCACCAGAGATTAGTGACATTAAACTAAGAATCCTTAAATTTAATTTAAGTTAATTAATAAAACCAGCTAACTTGAACGTCTCAGCTGTTTCTCCGTCGTTTAATTTGTTTTGAACGACAGCTAATCTGTAAAGTGACGTTAAGATCAAAGGTGTTTCTTAATAAGCTTATTAAACATTAACTTAGCATCAAGTTAGCTGAAGTTAGCCGTTTATCCTGTGAGCTGAGCAGCAGGAACTGTTGTCTGCGCTCTGTAGATTAGTTTTTGTTATTCTCTCCGGGTGTCTCTGTACCTGGTTTTTAAGGTTTGTTGTTGTTTGCTTCTTCGGTCTGTTGTTTATGTTGTTTTATTTCATCCTGTTCTCTCACAGCAGGCCTTTGTCTCCTGCCAGGCTGTTAGTGTATTTGAGAATCTCTCTTTAATTAACTTGTCAGCTGTTTATCACTTGATTTTAACAAGTGGTTGACAAAATTCTTTCACACAGGTTCTCAAAAGAGGAAAGCTTTTAAACCAAAACCATCTGAGCTTATATATTCAGATAGTTTTAGTACAAACATTCGTATCTTTCAACACTTTGGCTTTTTCGTCCTCTGGTGTTACAGAATCTGGCAGGTCAGAAATATTTGTACACCCAAATCTATGAAAATGTGTGACCTTTTGAATAAATCATTTCATTGTATATTATGCATGTACATAACATTACAAACAATAATACACTTTGACTCAGTTCCGTTATCACAGTATCATATCGAATGCTGCAGAAAGTTCGCAGTATTACGTTTATTTTATTACTGTGTGGCCAGTGTGTACAGACAGTAAAGGTAACAGTTGAACAGACTGAAAATCAATAATGGTATAGATAATTATAGTAATAATAATAGGACTAATATTAATAATTGTAGCAGGAGGAAACCTGCCACATGTGCAAACACCTGCAGAAAGCGACAGAAGGAGAGAGGAGAAGCACAAAGCTACAGGAAAGGGAAGAAGCGAAGTTAGTAATAAGTAGGGGAGTGAATCTCTAGACACTCTACGGTTCGATTACGATTCAGAGGCCCCTTTTATAAAGCAATCGTTTTTCCCACTGTGTGACTCCTTAAAGAAAAGTATTTGTAATGATCCCTAATGAATTTACCGCTACTATCTTTTTTTAATAAAACAAATGGAAGCATTTGCAGTGGAAGGTTACGTTTGCCAGCATAAATCGCAGCATAGCAGAGAACTAACAGGAACCGAAAATTGTGCCTGCAGCAGCGTACATGTTGGAGACTGGACGTCGTATCTCGGCTGTAAGTGCGTGACAGCTCGGCTTCTCAGCGACTGAGTATGGACAGAAGTCCTTGGCAGTAAAAGCTGCAATAGAGTTTGTGATTCGCTTTTCCCTTTCCCAAGTCAGGTGGAAGCTCTGACATGGCGTGCTCGATGGTCCTCTGGTTGGCAGCAGCTAAAACCAGACGTGTTTGTTGCTTTTCCAAAATATTTTAGTTTAGTTTGACTCAACTTGCATACAGTGTGGCTCTTTTCCAAAGTCCTTCCATACGCCAGCTTTATTGCAAAGGACGCTGGTCAGACTTCTCGCTCAGCCATCTTGTCATTATTGTGCATTATAGTGTCGTTATTTGCACGTAGGGCTGGACGATACGGCCAAAAATGGTATCACAATAAAAAGTTTCATATCTTTCAATATCGATAATTATCACCATAAGGCTGATTTTTGCTCCTGAGGGAAAGTAATTGTGGTTTTAACTCTTCTTTATGGTCAGAACACTTTACAAATCTGACATAGAACATTCAAAACTATTATGATAAAATCTTTGTGAACAAATGTGCACGAGTTAAATTAAGTAAGAGCTTTTTTCAGTCCTTTTTCTTCAACAGAATTAACATCTTCATAAAAAACTTAAGTCTTAATTCATGTATGATTCAAGTGAATAAAATCAAACATTTATTGAACATTTTTTACATTGTTATTGAAAGAAATGATATTGTGTTATTGTCCAGCCCTATTTGCACGTCACAGACTGTCCAGGCGCTGCACTTCAGAGTTCCGCCTTTTACGTTACGTCAGTATTACGCTTAATTTTTGACATTTGTGAATCGCTTCAGAATAGTCTGCGTCGCGATGCATCTAAGAATCAATTGTTTTTCACCAGCCTAGTAAAGTGCATGAATGTGCTAATACTGTTCCAGTGTGAAAGAGGGGACATGTTCCCTGTGGTTTCCTGACGTGGCGGTCAGCAGGTTTACGTATCTGACTCGTACGTTGTGTTTTGTGTGTCTGCAGGTGAATGAAGCTCCGTGCAGAGAGTGAAGCTGATGTGTGTCCTCGCTGATCCTGATTGAACTTCATGAATTAACCTCAGCGGCGGTCCAGCAGTTCAAACAGTGTGACCAGTATGGCTGCCGCCAACACCACCAAGATCTCGTGGCGATTGCGTGAGTACAAACTTTGTTCTTCCTGTTTCATATACTGTTTGATAAACTGACTGCTGCAGTCATCCAACACAGACACTTCTTCACACCGGACGTGAAGAATGCTGTTTTAATTCATGTTGGATTCACTAACAGAACATCTTTAGCTCCAGTTTAAAAGAAGAGGGCGTAGCCGCCGTGAGCAGAACTAAATGTGTCCTCCTGTGTTGTTGTACAGAGGAGTTCGAGGCTCACTCCAGCAGAGTTTCCTGTTTGGCTCTGGGCAAAAGCTCCGGCCGCCTGCTGGCCACAGGAGGGGAGGACTGCAGGGTCAACCTCTGGGCTGTCAGCAAGGCCAACTGCATCATGGTGAGACCTCCTCCCTGCAGCTCAGCTACACGACGACACCTCTGAACGCCACCAGCAAACCTTAGAACAGACGGAGCTCTCTGACCTGTGACTTTGTAATGAGCCTCCACACGTAGAAGGAGTCTACAGCCGCAGTGTATCCTGACCGTGTGTTTGTGTGTTTGTTGTCTCTCAGAGTTTGACCGGTCACAAGAACCCGGTGGAGTGTGTCCAGTTCAACGTGTCGGAGGATCAGATCGTCACCGGTTCACAGTCTGGATCAATACGAGTCTGGGACATGGAGGCTGCCAAGAGTGAGACTCAGTCTGTTCTCTTAGTGTGAAATCCTTTAACAGCTTTCTTCACCGTCTGTACGCCAGGCTCCACGTTAAAGTAATTGTGCTGCAGATGAAACTGTATGAACATTTTTACATCAGGATCATAGAAACCAAAAGGATCAGCGTTTCACCTTATGGAAAACATGAAAACACGGATGTGCTCTAACATTAAAGCTGTTATAAGGTGTATACAGTGAGCCCTGACATTAAGATTCTATCGAAAAGATTGAAGGTGAAACCAGCGTTGTACCCAGTGACACCTGCTCTGGTGTGTTCACTGTTGCTTTACCTAAACATCCACCGTGTCCCCGTCTTGTAATGTGATATCAGACAACAGCTCTCTTTGTGTTTCTATGCAAAATGCTTAAATGGGTCACAGAGATACCTGGGCGGTCGTTAATGCACCCGGCGGCCCGCCCAGGTCTATGTGTGGGAAACACTGACAAGTATGTAGGAGGGATTGAAGGAGACATCTTTTTCTTTCTTCTCAAACTGTCCGTTTGACTCTTCGACCATCGGTCCTTCTGTCTGTTGGCGTGACGCTTCCTGTCTTCTCCAGTTTTAAGGACTCTGATGGGACACAAAGCCAACATCACCAGCCTCGGCTTCCACCCGTTTGGAGACTTCCTCGCCTCGAGCTCCATGGACACAAACATCAAGGTAGGCGTGTCTTTGAGGGTCCAAAAAATGTCCTCACTTCCAAGGTCTAAAGCTCAAACACGGTCCTCAAAAAGGACTGTTTGAGGGGTAAGATGTTGTTGTTTTAAGGGTGAGGTTTGATTTTGGTTTAGGTTCAGTTCAGGGTTTGGGTTTGGCATTTAGTTGTTTAGGTTTGGGGCAAGTATAGAAGTACAAACAGGAGTGTGTGAGATTACATGGCTGTCTGTGTGAGGAGCGATTACAGTTTTGCCGAAGACGGTCGTCACACGTATAGAAGTTCAAACCTGTGCGTAAAAAGATGTGATGTTACTCTGAATCTGCACTGATGAAATATTTCTGTCTCTCGGTGCCGTCCGTCAGCTGTGGGATGTGCGCAGGAAAGGATATGTGTTCAGGTACACGGTAAGGGTACACTCTGTGTTAAATAAGACAAAATACTTTTCTGCAAAGCACATTTGAAAATATAGTTTAATAATATTTAAGATATAAAAGTTTCCTCAAGTTGTCACATGTGTGAAAGAAGTCACAGCCGTGTAAATGTGTAAAAGGTTTATCATATCAAACGTCAACATCCTCTGAAACAGAAGGAGTGTAATCCAGGAGAAAGGTTTTGTGCGATGCCCTTTGATATCTTATAAGTCGTGTTGGTGTTTGTGTTGCAGGGTCACACTCAGGCGGTGAGAAGTGTGGCCTTCAGTCCTGATGGGAAGTGGTTGGCCTCAGCCAGCGACGACTGCACCGTCAAGGTACGAGCCGAGAGAGCCGGCCGTCAAACTGTGTCTGAAGTATCAGAAACTCAGAGTGAGGCGCTCCCACCCTGATCACAAGCGCACCGCGACTTCAACTGGCTCAAACGCTTTTTACAAGCGACACATTTTAAGAGTTCAAACAATTAAATCAAAGTGAAGAAAATGAAATCCATATTTATCCACTTTATTTTTTTCTCATCTTCAAATCTCATGTTCAGACTCGGTCCCACAGACACGACCTGCTGCCCCAAACACTCACCACACATGTGGATTCATCCGCCGCTGAAAGTAGTCCCCAACAACAGAGAGCAGCTATACATCTGTTTAAAGATTTACATCTTCAGCAGGAACCAATGGGCTCACAGCTGAGAGCCACAGACAGGAAGTCTGTTTCAGTCTGAACATGAGATTTGAGGACAAGAAGAAGAAGACTTGTCCTGCAAATCAGCTCTCAGGCTGTATTTTCTGTCTGCTGTAAGAGTTGTTGGTGTGTGTAATCACCCCTGCTGTCCTGGTTGCCGTGAAGTGATCTCTAATCTCCTTACGTCTGTAACAAATGGAGGACAAATCCACAGACCTCGTCCTTCAGTCCTCTGCAGTCTGACTTGTTCTCTGCTTCCGTGTGGCTGACGTGACGCCGACATTAGCGGTGAATGTTGAAGTGTGATTTCTCTGGTCTCTCAGCTGTGGGACCTGACCCAGGGGAAGACCATCACGGAGTTCAAATCTCACACCGGCCCCGTCAACATCGTGCAGTTCCACCCCAACGAGTACCTGCTGGCGTCAGGCAGCTCCGACAGGTAGGACGCCACCCTTCGGATCTGTTTCAGACGCCGCGGGGACGATGCGTTCTGCCGGATGTTGACGGCGAGTTTGTCTCTGTGTTGTCTGCAGGACCGTCAAGCTGTGGGATCTGGAGAAGTTCACGATGATCGGCTCGACGGAGGGCGACACGACTCCAGTCAGGTGAGTGTTCTCAGTGCGCAGGTTGGCCGGCGTGTTGCTGGAATGTGACCTCTGACCTCTGTGTGTTCAGGTGTGTGTTTTTCAGCCCGGACGGCGGCTGTCTGTTCAGCGGGTCCACCGACTCTCTGCGGGTCTTTGGCTGGGAGCCCGACCGCTGCTTCGACGTGGTGCCGGTGGGCTGGGGAAAAGTCTCTGACCTGGCCGTCTGCAACCAACAGCTGGTGCGTAGCTCCGCCTCCAGGAGAAAAACTTCACTGCTGTAATAAAAACTCCTCATCTCTAACCTCTCTGCCCGTCAGATCGGCGTGTCTCACCAGCTCTCCAGCGTGTCGTCCTACGTGGTGGATCTGAAGAGGGTGAAGAAGAGCGGCGCTCCGTGATCAAGGGAATCATCCAGGACAACCAGCCGCTCACGGAGCCGAAGGATCCCAAGGAGCCGCTCTGCGCAGGAACTACGAGAGACCCACAACACCTGCAGCTCCCAGGTTACGACGATCCACCATCCTTCAGACAGAACGCCGCCTGTGCAGTCCGAGGCGCGTTCTGTCTGCCGTGATAACGCGGGAGGAAAAATACGGAGTTCTGTGTCTTTTAGGCGACTTTATAAACGTGCTGCTGATGGATTAAAATTTTAGAATGATTAGGTTCGTTGTGATGAAACCTGCTTTCACATGGAGGTATAGTGAGAAAAATTTAGATTCTTTTTTCGGCAGGGGGGGGGTTTTTACAATCACGATGCCCCCGCTCAACGCGGGATGTCTGTCAGCCGTCACCGACGGGATGATCGCATCGTCAATCGACCAACCCTAATCTGGGCGTAAAAAAAGCTCTTTCATTCACCAGAGAGCCGAACGTCTCACGTGCATCGATGTTTGCTCTGACGACGCAGTGATGTCACAGAGTGCCGTCAGTAAATAAATCCTCAGCTCAGCGGTTGTAGCTCAAACTTTAAAAATAAAACCGTTGTAATCGACCGTTTTTTAAAAGAAGTAAATCTCTTTGGGATAAAACAAAACACTTGACGTCACCTTGGACACGTTTGTAACATTTAACATTTTATTGACTTAATTATTGACTCAAAACTAGTTATTGGCGCCGCTAACTGCTTTGTCTTTACGTTTCCTTTGATCAGATATTTTTTATTTGAGTCAAACTTTGACAGTTTTTGTAGAGCAGCTTGTGTTGAGACTGAAACGTCTCCTTTGAAATCGACAAAAATATTATCAAAGGAAAGTAAAAAAACAATAAACAGAAGTAAAATTCTGGTTTGGGTCACCTGTTGTGATGTCACCAGGGTGGGGCAGAGTCAGACGCTGATAGGCGGAGCCCCGAAGGAGAGAGGCGGAGCCCCACGAGGACGAGGCGGACGAGAAGGTGTCGTCAGCTGAAATCCACAACGCAGAAGACTACAAGGAGATTTTTCCAGCCCAGAACGCCATCTGTAGGTCGACCACAGCGTCACCACCTGCAGTCAGCTGATTCCAATGAAACAATGACAAACGGTTTGGTTCAGGGTTCAGGTTTTACTGACCTCACTTCAGTTTGTTTCCGGTGTGGATCAGGGTTCACTTTTCTTTCTGCTGCACACTAAATACCCTTTAAATGTGAATGTGATTTAGTTTTACAAGATGTTTCAGATTTCTGATCTCAGTTCAGCCGTTTATCCGAGTTGGTCGTCAGTGACTCAGTCTCCTGTCTTCCAGCTCGCACT